ATGTTGGATTATGGATACGAGGAAATGAATCGAATGTGTGAAAAGTTGGGAACCGCACAGAAGATGTGAAAAACGTAACTTATAAAAAAAGGTAGAAAATTTGAGTCCAATTTCTTCGTCCTACCCTCCCCTTGTCATGACATGACAGCAGATTGTGAAATGTCATTTTAATTAAGAAGCATAAGAAGTGGAACTCTCCAATTACTTCATTCCAAACCTCAACAGCAGTTCGCCGCACTAGCTTTTTGGGCTCCTTTCCATAGTTTCAACCTCTTCTCCATTTTTGGCACCACTCCATAAGTCCTAACCCGTAGTCGGGAGTTTTATAGTTCTCTGACCAACAACCTGTATTCCTCGTCGGGATCGGTCTCTTGAAGCGGTGACCAGGTCAACTATGTAACGATGGTACCACTGAGGTATTAAACAGGAAATGAGATATATGAGGTCGTCGTTTGAAGCATTATCTTGTACGATTCCAATGCCCACCGACAATTTTGTTTCACCAAGAAAAATAGATCCGAGGAGCGTGATGTGATAGAAATTTTGCCCTAGCGATTTCCATAGTACTTCTGAACTCACATTTCAAACCTACTCAAATTGAATTTCTCTTCACTGACCTTCCTTATAGTAGACAAATTAATAAAGCAATACTTTCTAACTCCGTTAAATTATGTTTAATTCTCAACGCAAATCAAGGCATCATGAAGTGTTCGTTTTCAACCATTGAGTACACCAATCGAATAGCAGATATGAAGATTTCGAAAGGTGTACTAGTTGTGAGTGAAAAAATCATGCAAAACCTTTGGATGACTCACTCTCACTAGCAGTGCGAACTACGACAGAATTTCTATTTCTTTGCCTCGAAAGCATCGTCCATAGCAGTGATACTATTTGAGTACGGCAACGTGACTACCGTACCTTAATCGATAGAGTTTGCAGGTGACAATACAGCTAAACGATATTTGCTACAAACGCACTACTCTTTGTATCTATTCTAGCATTTTTCTCGTTCATCTGTCCTCGAATGATCTCGCCATTGCCGCTCCATCGCTTCCGCTTTTACAGCATGTTTCACTAGATCTGGAAGTAGCGACAGTTATCGGTCCGAAGTGCACAAATCAGCGTAACATTGTGTCTGCTGGTTACATCCCAGAAGCTACCGTTCATGCTATAAAATACGAGCTTTGACAATCGTCATTTTCGCACTGTTATCAAACGACGAAGACGAAGCCGAAGCGTTGTATGTGAACTCGGAGATGTTCTGGAGTCACCACTAGTGCTACAGTGCTACACATTTTAGTGCTACAATTAGACCTAAAAGAACGTCTGAAAAACATCACATTGGCACCTATGGAGTAGAATGGAACACACAGTATAAGCCGCTGTCTGAGTTTATCATGACGATCAAAACCATTCATGGAAACTCACAATTCCAGAAACTCCGCCCTGAACGATGCGCGTGCGAGTCTCTCAATGCAATACCACAACGAAATGAGCCGCACCATTGTAAATCGAAGGTTTTGTCTAACCGATATCGCTGTTATCGCCATAAACTGGGATTTATATCGACGAAGAGTACAAAAGCTCATTAGACATCTTTGCGCTAGTGTTATAAAAGCTGAGGGTTCAAAATTCACCAAGGGGCTTTCTAAAAATACTCCAGGTAATATGACAACGTGGAATCGCCCGAGCAGTAGACATTCGCCAGCTTACGTTCAAGCTTCCAAAACGCTCCAGAAAGGCGATTAAAGAAGAACTTAGGAAGAAAAGAGCAACAGGTGTGGCAGATGCTACAGAAACCTAGAGGGACATTCGTAAAGCTCTTTAGAACTTCTCCTTCTACAACAGAAAGACAGTTAGACCCCGATGTCTCGGTGGAAAGATTTTCGAAAATTACAGAAAATCCATCTTTCAGAATACGAAGAATAAAAGAATCAGAACCTGTCAGAATAAAAATTCTTCGTGAGCTACATAAAAAATTTCGCAGTGGGTCTATCTAGGTTAGGAAATCAACATATTGAACGATTTAGCTCCAGAGCTGAGCAGAAGGAAACGAGCGGCTTGGGGAGCTTTCAAGATCATCGAGGGAATAGTGAGGAGATCAAAACACCTGACTCCGTTCACACCTTTTCGACTCAGCGGTACTTCCTGCTCTAATGTATGTGTCAGAAACCCGATCGCTGCGTAAGCAGGATGAAAGATCACTTAGCGTCATTGAGTGCACAGTCGAAAGGACGATGAGGAGTATCCTGTGTCGCATAAATGAGGGAAGGAATCCGAAGCTCCGAGTTATGTTAACGACCAAAAATAGGTCGCACACGTAATGCGTATGAACGACAACCGGTGGACAAGAGCTATTCTGATGGAGGGGCACATTACGCTTCAATGTGAATTCTGCGCGGTTGGTCTCCATGCGACATACTCAGTGGAAGACTGATAGAAAGCAGTGAGTGTGCAAGGAAGCTACTCTGTGTTCAATGTGATTGAAATCTTGGTTTAGCGTGGTTCTCTGTTTGGTTATGGAGGTGCTTGGGCGAATGGATTGCTGTCAACTTGACCTTTCCAGTCTCTCAGGAACGCGAAACCCGCCGAAACATCAGCTTGTTCGTGAATAGAATAAAATAACACCTCGCGTTTGCTCAACAAGAATACGAAGAGCCATTAGTGACTGGATTCCTCGGGATGTCAAACGTACTGCAGGAAGACCGCCGACCCGATCGATGGTCAGTTTTTCACGAAAACCCTAGAAGGTATAATGCTCAGAGAGTCCCTAGAAGGAGCAGAACCCACCGTGATACTTCTGCTTACGGCAGAGAGAAATGGAAGAGTTACTGGCACCCGCTCAACACGTTAGACGATCAACTGGACGACAGGTGACTAGCGATACAGGCGACACCTAGGATGTGGCCCCTGTAAACAAATGACCATCCATTTCTCTCTTCGCATTCACACTGGTGGCTTTTAATGAAGTGGGCTTAATTCTGATACGTCTGATGTCATTACTCCTGCTCCGGTACGATGATTCAGCACCGGCTTTACTACGTAAAGGTCAGCAAAATGAAAGACTAAAATTTGATAAGGGTTTCATGAATTGGCTTCGTCATCCTGCTGCAGTTGCTAGAAAATCCAGCTGAAGCTCTTATTTGTAGGCATATAAGAAGTCCACTCTCTGTCGAACGCGCGCTGATAATAGGATTGTACGCGTTTCGATACCGATAAATATATTTTCTCGGTCGATGGGCCTTAGAACTGATGAAATTCTCAACAGACCTTCCCGAAGCTAGCGATTTAAACAACACCTAGCACCAAAACCCTGTCAAAATACTGCTTATTTAACTGGCTGAATTTCACATGAAGTGTTTAATATTTCTGACTATACAATTTTACGATAACCTTGTATAATACATTAAAGAAGACGGGGAAATACATCTATGGAACCGCTCAGTAACACTTTCCGGGCTGAATGAGGGTGCGTGAAATTGTGGAGAGATAATGATTCCTTCTTGGCACAGGTAAGTTATCATACTAACCTGTGCAAGTACACATAGCTCGTGGGTTCGGACTCGCAAGAAGTTGGATGGGATGTTGTGTGGTTCTGGAGATGTGCCTCTCTTCATGCTCTTGATGGAATCTCGGATTACACGTTAAAGAATTCTAGTGGTTTTCGAGAGGGCAGTTTTGTGTCCGAAACGAGCTGGTGGTATGGTAAAAAACCGGAGAGCCTTTACATCATAGATTTGATGTCAAGGAAAGATGTATTTGCAGTCCTATCTTCAGCGATCTGACCCTATACAGTAAAGGATTCTCCATATTCTGTTTATGAAAAAATAATCGACCTCCGCTCTTCAGTTGCGCACCTCCCATAGGTTGTGTTATTATGCAACTCCTATGTACACAGCGATTTTCCTTCTCGAGGAATAAATTCCCAAGAAAGACGTGGCGTGGATGGGAGCTCATCAAGACGGTTTTTATCATTGCATTCTCATATTCCAAATTTACCGACCTTGCATTTAGTCGCGTAGGCTTTTCCCGACAGATCATATACTATAATCGATAAAAGAACGAACCTTATTCAATCCCATATTTTGCAAGTATCGGTAAGCGCTTGGCATCAATAACTTCTTTCAAAGAAAGAACTGAAGATGGAGAATAAATAAGCAACGTGGAAGAATCTATTACGAATACACACATCGGGTAAGGAAAGGATAAAAATGTCAGCAACAATAAGTATTTGATAACCGCCCCTTGTAAAATCATAAAAGCAAAAAAAAAAAGATTCCGGCCTGTATTTAATACTACCTGGCCTTCCGGATAGAATGTTCGTTTCTTTTTACGATTATGCAAGCCTGTTGAACACCCCTCATTCCATTGTACATCGCATTTTGACACCCAACAATGCCAACATTCGTGACTAGGATAAACCCTAATTCATGTGGTTAAATGCTCACATATTCACCCAAGATCTATCTATGACTAGTCCATATGCTAGGAATCACCACAATCCAAAGAAAACAAACAATGCGGCAACCTTCCTTGATTCACTGGAGCCTGCTTTTTATGATGACCTGGGAACAACTTGGCACTGCCATCCTGTGACCTGAGTAAAACAATCTGTTTAGACAAAGAAATACATATACACAGAATTTACGCTCGGCGCAGCAGGATTCGTAATGGTGGTAAAGGAAAACTTCCCAAGTATTTGGCAAAAAGGTGGATATAACACGAAACGTTTGATACAAAACCCACATGCAGTACACAGCAAATGAGCAAAATAACTCCGATGTATAGTAAAACAATTAGTTCAAAACAAAAGAAAAACGTCAATCAGGACACAGATAGCTTTTTTATCACATACTGAGATAGAATGTTCAACTATGATAATAACGGTTCTAGGTAAGTATAAAGGGTTTTAAGTAAGTCACAGTAATTAAAGGAAGAAAACAACTTCAACAAAAACAGAATTTTGACAAAATTCTCACCTCAACAAATCGACAAGTTCCTTATGCATTGTAAGCATTGCTAGTGACTCGTCCCCCTTTCCCAGTCCAATTAGTATGCATCCACACACCTGGTGAATCCAGTAACTCGTAGGTATGCGCACCAAAAAAGTCACGTTGTGCTTGAATTAGGTTAGCTGGAAGCACCTAAAAAAGACTTCGAATTGAGAAATTTTACTTACTTCTGAAACAATCGAAAGATCAGTAGTCATTGTGGGTCTTACATTACTAAACAGAAACATGCACTAGTTAGCATGAAGATTATTAAAATAAAAAAATCATTTAATTCGCAGTCTAAGAAAGAACCATGATCTTGAGGACAAAAACGAGAAACAAACAGTGATAAGAAGTGTAGCAAAATAGTACCAAAATCCTCAATACCACAATTCCCTCTCCTCCTACTCCGCGTTCAATTTAATTCAAAACAAAAAACTTTTTCTACAATCTCGGATTCACTTGATTACATTAATATTGAAAGCATTATTATTAACAATTGATCAATTACGTCGAGGTTAAATGAAAGTTGGTTTTCAAAAAGATTCAGAACCCAGTAAAATTTCAAACTATACGAACATACTACAGCCACTGCGACGGGCTTTATGTTTTGAATTATATGACGGAGAATCAGACTACAGACAAAATTGATGAACACGAAATATTTGAAATATATTATATGGAGAACTTACTTTTCTTGAGTAACCATCATAAAAAGCCAGAGCTGAGGACATTGCCGGAACAGGAATACCAAGGCGAATCGCGGATGTCACAACAACGCGCCATGATATCTAGACATGAAAATAGGAGAAAAAAAGCTACTTTTCTTGCTAACAAGACCAGTTCAAAGAAAAATTGGCCTAGACGCTCCTCAAACTAATGCTGACTTATTATGCTAAGCAAAAATTAAATGATTTGGGTTAAAATAAGACAGACAACTTGTTCAATTTTTTTCTAGATGAGCCGTCTTTTTATCTGCTGTGCAGATTCCACTAGTTCTCGGATTCGTTCACTCATCTCTGACATCCAACTCTCGGGATTTTCACGTGTGGCTTCGACTGCTTTGAGTATTTTCGTTTTCGGCGAGGATGCATAAAGCTCTCGGAGTTGATCAATCCCCGAGGGATGCGTCATGCTTTCGACATCATCAAGACGTGATCAGATATATATCTGACCTACACAATGAGCCGCGGTGGCCTACCGATATATCGAGCAAGTGCTTGCTATCCTAACAGACAACTTGGTATCAATTTGCCGACCTCGAAGGGATGGAAGGTTTGGTGGGCTAAAGGCGCATGGATCGATCCCATGCACCTTGCACGGTGCCTCCATTGCACCGCACTCGCCTTTGAATACTGACTTATCCAACTTTTGCTGGAGTCCCAGTGTGGTCATGCCCCAGAGTTCCCACTAGGATTCGAGTGAATAGACTACGCGAGGTCACACCTGCACAGTGTTCGTTATCAACGGCATCACTGCCATTGCGGTACAGAGAAATCAGGAAAACGTAAATCAACTCTTTGTTTGAAATCCACCACATCTTGAACAATTTTTGAGAATAATATAAAGAATAAAATACTTGACTGGTCAAATAAGAAAAAACGTGAAGTAACCATTCGTTTGAACCAACAAGGGTAAACGAAAACTACTCACGGAGAATTTCATATACTCAAAATAAAAAGCGAATAAATAACAGCACTTACAAACCTGAGCATCTTCAGTAGCTTTCGCAAAGAAGTCATCAAGAAGTAGGTTTGCCAAATCACGTTTCTTATCAAACGCTTTTTTGATATCACCCAGAAACCTAGTAAGAAAAGAATAATATAGACGAATTGAACATCGAAGTTATATATATATATATATATATATATATATATATATATATATATATATACGTGCAAATATAGATATAGATGTACACGTAGATGTATACGTATATATACATGCATATATTATATATATATATATATATATATATATGTACACATATTGAAATGACACATTTGAAACCGCGAACTCACCTAGATCTAATAATACAACCACCCCTCCACATAAGCGCAATTGCTCCAAAGTTGAGTTCCCAGTTGAACTTACGATTGGCTTCGGCCATCAACATAAATCCTTGTGCATAGCTAACAATTTTCGACGCGTAGAGTGCCTTCATAGAAATTTCCCTTTCAAAAATGATCTAACGTGGAGGAATTTCAAGTTATCAAAACACTGTTATCAATACGTTAGAAGTCAGACATAAGATTGCTCTATACGACAAAACTAGTGTAAAATCAATGAAAAACTCCTTGACCTTGCTAATATGTTTTATGAAGTCTCTTTTGTCCGGTATGACTTCAGTATGTTTCACGTGAGGTTTCGCAAGGCGAGCAGATGCCACAACACGTTCGTTCTTCAAAGAGGATAGACATCTTGCAAAGACAGCTTCACCTTAGAAAACAATTCAATCCCTTCCAAATCAACAAGTTCTCCATTAAGCATACTTCAGACTACGTTTGATGAAATACGAGAATACTGAACGAAAGAGATAAATCAATAATAAATTTCACAACCTAAACAATTCTTCTAGAGATGTTTCCTGCTTGAATAAAAATTCACGATGGTACTTATTCAGATATCCTCCTAGTGGTTTACCGCCTCATCGTAACTGGGAGGTGTTTTTGGGTGTCGGGCTGGATGTACAACGGGAAGATTTAAACCACCGCAGGGCTTTCCAAACTGGTAAAGAGTTCGACGTTTCCGTCAGGAAGCCCAATTGAGAGTAAATCAGCACCAGGATCCACCACCACTGTCCTGGTATCAAACTAGTCGCAAGGTGGTAAATCCCTTTTGATCCACGAGGGCTGCGACTGCCTGTGGTATTGACGACCTGGAGAAGAGTTTGGTCAAGCTGACTTCGGGACTCTAAGGAACCGCAATGGCTAGACCAACAAAACTCCAGGAAAAAATGGAAAATGGAAATTATGCTGAAGCCCGCAAAACCAGCGAAGGCTGGCTATCCAAGTATCCATGTAAGTAATGAGATATAGCTTTAGAAATGAACGGTAAGCATGGGAAGTGTATAAGAGCTCAAGCTAATGACTGTTTATATACTAGTGAAAATTCCATCTTGTATCGCTGGGGAAAATTAGGTACATTTAAAAAGCGTATATGTATGAGTCACACATACCTATCAGAGTGACGGGGACTCCGTACTCTTGGGCAGCATAACATGTCCATTTCCCAGTACCTTTCTTAAATCTTTTTAAAGCTCTTGCTAAAGTGAATCATATATTTCTGCTACACATACACAACTTGTAAATTTGGAACGAAGCACAAAAAGGCTACATATCACGAACAAAAAAAAACTGTCTACCTGTCCAGCACTATCTCGAATTTTTGGCAGAATATGTTCGCCTTTCTCATCTTTGTATTTCAGAATTTCCGCCGTTATTTCAATCAAATACGAATCAAGGTCCCCATGGTTCCAATCTTCCATTACCTGTAACAGTTCCATTAAAACGAAATCAGTGCTAAAAACCTGAACTGCCATCTCGCAGAGCGAGACCAGTTACAAGGCAAAAAAAAAAAATCCCCTCAATTCACAAAAGTACAGCACTGATTTTCCAGATAACTAGTGTCCCAATTGCGTAGTAACTGCGCAAACTAACTCCTCATGAGGATTATAACACCGTGCATATTATGGACTTAAGATTATCCCAACTAAATCACAAAGTTCAATTCCGACAATGATTCGACTCGTAGGACTACATCATAAGTAGCATTACAGAGGTGCCCACGACTTTCACGACTTCCCATCTGCCACATGCGTTACGCTTGGTCGAATACCCGAAAGAGTTTGAATACACCGAGATAAAATTTGAATTTTTTGTCGACCAAAAAATGGACTGCTCTATAGGAACTCTAGCTGGTTGTCATTGTAACTGCATTACAACTATCGCAGCCGTTACCATCGCAATTAGGAGCTTCGGCAACGCAATAATATTTCATCAAAACAGTTTCCCGCTTTACTGCAACGAAAATGGTCGGCCGACTAATACGCAAGGTCAAACGCATTGATGAAAACTTTCTAAGTTCCGTTCAGCCCATGACATTATTTTTAGTAGTACCACAGAAACAAGGATACGCAAAAAACATAAAAGTGGCCAATTAACACAATTATATTCAACGCCTTATGTTAAAACATGAGCTGACCCCTAAATCGCGTATTTTATACACCAGCCATAAAACACTAAAATAGTGCCCTCGACACATCATTTAGAATAGAAACCATATACTCTCTATAGATAACCTCACCTCAGCAATTTGGTCATAATTCAATTCCACTCCCTCCAGAAGCAAATCGTAGGCTTCGGCAATCAACTGCATGTCACCATACTCGATGCCGTTGTGAACCATTTTTACAAAATGACCAGCACCATCACTGCCAACCTAGAAACAGAATTCAAAATGCATTTTATAAAAATACAATAATTAACATCTAATGAGAACTAACTGTGCAATTAGTAATAGAGCTACACAAAATGCCCGCTACTTTCACAAAGCAGGTAAGTGCAAACGTATTTTGCCATTCTTCCAGAAAATTTCAAGCGGAATGTTAATCACTTGTCAAAAACTATGAAAATCCAGGAAAACAACTTATAAATTCATGTTACACACCCAGTCACAACACGGTTCACCTTCACTTTTGGCTGCGATCGACTGAAAAATATGTTTAAGATGCAGCCATGCATGTGGATTTCCTCCAGGCATTAGCGAGGGACCATGACGAGCACCTGAACAATGGCATTAAACAATACCGCCTCCTTTATCGCCATCATCACCACAATCATCATCATTATCATCGCTATCATCATCATAATCATCATCATCATCATCGTCATCACCAACAATATCACACATCTAATTTCTTGCAAATATTTCCAGAAGGAAAATTTATGGGACGTTTTATGGTTGTAAATACACAGGTTCCTTACATTCGGTTGCAAAGATATTCCACTTCTTTTAAAATCCAGTATACTTCCGAATATCCATCATAATAAACCTCTCCACTAAGTCCTCGTTCATCTTTTTTCATCCTTCGCAGCACAGATTCAATATTAATCAAAATTTTGTTCTCATAATTTCTGCTAAACAACCAACACCAACAATACCTACTTATAAAAACGTCAATGCATTATTACGCCCAAACGTTGTGTTCACTGGAATTAACCTCAACCAATTACCTGAATTTACCTAGATAACATCCTGTGGTGCAGATTTTAACTAAGCCGACCTCGGAACTCCAGGGAACAAAAATGGCTAAACGAGCAAACCTCCGAAAAAATGGAAATTATGCTAAGGCCACAACCATTGAGGGGTCATCCACGTATCCAAGTAATAACAAATCCAAACGACTACTGTTCATATTCACAAGTGAAGCTTTTCTCCATCGTGTTTCCATAGCAACATCCACATAACGAGGCGAAAATATGCCAATTATGCTCGACCGGTACACTACTTGTTTGATGTGATCGCTATCAACCGAATCCCAACGATCTCACCAATGGAACCCTCTAGCTCAACATCCACAGCAACCTTTGCCACACGACGTACCCTGTCACAAGAACAAACACCATGGGAACACCAACAATTATGTGAGCAGTTTATGAATTATTAATTAAACCCTTTTCTAAGGATGCTGACGTGTAAAATAAACCATGCAAGAAATGAAATAACTTAATATCCTCTTCAGAAATAGCTATGGTTTTTAGTTGCCAATTAATCCCTATTCATTTTGCCGTATAACAATTTTTAGACACAGTGATAGACGACCACACCTGGAAATACACTCTCGGCAAATCAACGAGGTAACTCTTTAAATTTTACCTTAAAGTTAACTGGCCCGTCACCTTTTTATAAAATGTTCGCAACCGCACTAGTCCTCTGAGAAATGCCGATATGTCCGATAAAGATGAAAACTTCATGAGCTCATGGGAGGAACTTCCCTCCACTGTTTCAAGAATACAAAGCACTTTTTATAGAGAACTTGGCGAAAACTTGGGAAAATTTAGTAAACTCCGGTGTTTCTCATATTAGTTAAAAAACTTCGTCATAAGCTAGATATGTTGGTTTAAAACTAAAACTTGCAAATATTTTCGCATAATATTAATCATACGTAATTCATAATAATAAAAGTGTAAAGGATAAAGTTCTCGGCATTGATCAATTCCTAAGGGATGGATCATGCATTCGACTTCATTAAGTACCGCTCGAGGTGACTGAATGCACATCTGGCCATTACAATGACTCGCGGTGGCCTATCAATGTATCCAGTGCTCCTATCCTTCCAGACAAGTCTGGTACCAATTTGCCGAGCACCGAGGGATGGAAGGCTTGGTGAGCCATGGGCGCGGAGATCGATTCCATGTGTGTGTCGCAGCGCGATCTCCAACCACTGCCCCATAAGCGCCCATACGTAATTCATATGGTTATTATTGTGTTGAAATAATCCCAGTTGCAGGCTTACATCTTATAAAGCTACATCTCTTATTGGTTTACCCCACGATTTTAATGGTCTTGAGGTGTTACAGAGGTGTTGTGTTTGGTTTTGGAAATGTTCCAATTCCATCAGAGGATAATATTGCTAAACTGGTCAACCGAAAGCTAAGTATTCGTGCTATCACTTGGAATATCAACGAAAAGGTGATATTTCCTAATCATTGGTCTATTTCAAATTGAAACAAGTTCTTTGATTTAAAGCGCCTTTTCAAGTGGAAAAAAATTTTGGACGAACGTACAACGAGCATTGTCAGTCCGTCGAAGCGATTGCTAGGTTGCAAATAGCACATCTGTCGCAACCACGTTTAATTCCTCGCCAAATGAAATATAATTCAAAAACCTGTTTGAGCACTGTCTTTACGAATTAAATTACTGCACAGTGGTAGGAAATCTTGCGATATAAAACAAATGGTAACTGTGGAAATATTCACACACCAAAGAAACGCGGAAAAATTGAGTCACGCATGATCCATGCTAGCCAATGTGCCTATCAGTCACAAATGGCTTCTACTGATACAAACGTGTTGAAGCACTAGTTTTGCGATAACATGAAGAAAATATAAAAGTGTAAATAGTAGGCGAGTTGTTCAAAAACCAATAGACAAATAGCCTCTGAAATGAACACAAATTTCTTCAGTTTCAAAAATTCTGAGAACGAAGCACTTTCAGCCCGTTAAAATTCTCAGTCTTCTTGCTGATCATTTGAAATATATGTCAACACACCTTGAAGATATCATCTTGATAGCCCTACAAGAGATACCTCCATCGACTGCGTGGGTTGCTTATGACATTTTCTAGTCTCGCTTCAGAAATCTGGTACATTTTGATGAAAACACGGCAACGAAACAATTAGCTACCTATCAAATAATAACTAAAAGGAAGAACTTCGTAAGTATACAAGTATGTATGCTTTCCAAGTTTTTTATTCCTTAACTTTCGGCATAGACTAACAAATATGACACCTTTATATCAACAGGGTAGGTCCTAACAAACAAAACATCATATTTCAAAGTTGCATAAAACATCGACCGATGAGGTCTGAGATGTTTATGAAGGGAGAAAAGAATAAAAAAGAAAAGTAAATTCCAGGACATTCCACGAAGATGCTCTAGCAATTATATCGAAACCTCTACACCAAACTCACGTCACCTATCTCTCATACCGAGCTTGGAGTCAAATGGTGTTTCTACTCATGAGAAAGTCTCACACATGCTTCACAACAGGTCAGTTTAGAAATCGTCAATCATAGTGCGTTCCAGAACCAATGGTAAATCTCTCTTAGTTCAGTATTGCGTTCGTTTGATATTTAGTAATTTAGTTCCACTTTATTTCATCTAGAATTTTCCCTTCGTAAACCTTTAAGGTGAAGTACCAAAAAATTGTAGATTTTCGCTTTCGTCATACAGATGAACATTTTGCTACAATTCTGATAAAACATACGTGGTAATTCCTCCAAGATTTCTTTCCATCATCCATATACTGTAAAATATTTACAGAACCAATGGTCAGATTTGTGTCATGCAATACTCTGACAAAACCTATGAGGACGAAGGGCGCTATCGGAGTTTGCCTGCGCATTTATCAGCGATGGACTGTCATCATTGCTTGTCATTTGACACGTAAGTGTCACATATCTTACATATTTCGACAGCCGGTCATCACTGGTTGTGCGGACTCCAGCATAATTTCCATTTTTACGGAGTTTTTCTGGCTTAGTCATTGTGGTTCCCAGGAGTCTCGAGGTCAGCCTGGCCATATTCTTCGCCAGGTCGTCAATACTACAAGCAGTCACAGCCCTCGTGGATCAAAGGGAGACTTGCCACGATGTGACTGGTTTGATACCAGGAAGGTGGTGGATCCTGGTATTGGTTTACTCTTAGCTGGGCTTCCTGATGGAAACGCTGGTCTTCTCAGCTTGGGACACTCTGCCCAAGGGATGAATCTCCCCGCTGGCACGTCGCAGCCCCACACCCAGGAACAGCCAGTCACCATGAGGTGGTAAACCGTTGGGGAGGAGTGTCATACATCAGATACGTAAAGCCCTTTTATTTCGAAACAGCAATTTTGTTATAACAAATCATTTTACGTTCACGAGGACTTTCACGATTTCGAAGAATAACTGATGACACTTTTGATTTTCACCTAATTTTGGGTTATCGAGTCAACATGACGAAGTAGATCTGATATGCAGCACTCAAGATATAGGACACATTCTTCGATAATCATTTAAGGGAGAAACGTAACTGTAATTCTACCGTAAGCATGTATTACTCTCACTAACAGTTAGTATAAAATATTTTATCACAAAATCCGGGTAGGTTAAACACACTATGTGATGTACAATAATAAAGGCTCATACATCTAAATATTAGTAACTTTTCAATGAAAAACTAATTAACCATATGCCAGAAAAATAGGAGATAATTACCCTACATCTCTTCAAACGAACCCATTAAATTAACATTTGCGAAATTCCCATCACTGTCGAATAAATATATAGCTTTGGAACTGAGATGCAGTGAAAGATGAAGCATACAACGAAAAGAGAACTACTAATTAATAAATTCTCTCGTGTTATGGAGTTTGAGTTTTCAAAACTAGGCACACATTGGTGCGTTGTCCGATTTACGCCTCAACAAGGTGTAAGATTTTCTCTTGTGAGCTTTCAAATACGTCACATTGAGCGAAGAAAACAAACATTAACAAACTTGACAGGATTTTCAAGAATGTTTAAAAATTCCTAAAACAAGAATGATTACTCTTCCGCATCCCATAAAAGGTTTGTCGGAACATTTTGGAAATTTCTATTTTTCACTGGGTGAAAGGCTTTTCCTTTCGTCTTTCGCAAACGTTGATGCATAACAAATGGGACATTTTGTGCCATCTGAGGGTAGAACAAACATGGCTCTTGTAGATATGGAAAACGAGTTGAATTCAGTTATGTGACATATTCTACACTATAGTGACACCTCAAAGTCCAAATGTATGAAAAGAGGTAACTAACACGCATGACTATAAGATGCTCATAAAAAGATAATTTTTGTTTGTTAACGTGTTAAATCGTACTGATTAGAAATTTCTTAACGTGAATCACACGACCAGCGAAATATTTTCAGATTCGAGTGCACTGGAAAGAATACAAAACTATCACAAAGTTATGAAAAACCTAAAATTCTCGACATTGTGCAGTTTCACAGGAAACGACGGCATTCTTCACGCCGATGTAAGCCAATGAGTTTTTAAAAATCAACTTTCTCTTAAGCAAATCAAACGTACATTTCTAAGCAATTCCCTGATTTGCTTGAAAAATATAAATAAAAACATGGGATGACAACTAGATGCTGGACTCAGAATGGGGAATATGTTTAAGTTTTCAGATATTTCTAGTGCTCCTATCACTCCTTGGTCAACGCGAGCTGATAGAATTTCATTCGTTTCGAGGCTGTCAAACGCTTTCACGTATTCGATAAAGGATAGGACAAGGGGCAGAAGATGCTCCTGACAGTCTTCTACGACCCAAAATGAATGATTACGAGATGAGAAAAATATGGAATAGTTTGGTTTCATGAACGATGTGTTAATATGATTTTGTTAACACGACCTCTCTCAAGCTCTTAGATCAAGTCCGCCAAAAAGCAAGCCATTTTGGAATAAATCTTGACCTAACATACTTAATTCTTAGAAATACAAGTTGTGATAAAATGGCAACCAGTTAAATACGTCCAATACTAGTTTTCCATCGAACAACTTCTACGGCTCAAGGGTTTTGAGGATAATATTCAACCATTATACCTTAAACTTACTGCTCTACCCAGTGAAAATTCGCTTAATAACAATGACATAGGAGGCCAGCCAATGGATACATTAGTTGGCAAGACCAACCTTTAACTTGGAAAGGGTAGTAGTGTGTTCGGTCCCTACCGCAGACACCAGCGGTCTGGAGTTTTGCAAATATCTCAGGATCCTTATGGTTATATTTCATAATCCTTAGCGTGATTTAGTGTGTGCTATGGATAGGCGATCTTAACTTCCGAATAATGAAAGACTCCGGAATACAGTGGAATTCACATCCACATGGACTTAGTTCTTCTGACATAGAGAATATAATTAAGGACGATGAGTTGGCAATAATACGACAAAAAGGTAATGGAATGAAACATTGTGATTTCATATGTACTTCACAGATCTGACACAATTTAGAGCTCGCTTTCACGGTATTCTCCGAAGCACCGATCAAATTTGCTCCTACCTATAAATTTGAAATCGGAACTAACAATTACGTAGCAGATAGAATTCCTTCCTATACGGTAAGCCATTGAACCAAAATACGCTAAATAAATATCAGGCATTTAAAAAAAACGATAGAGAACTAATAAACTTTGGTGTATAAAATGTCGCGTGTACCAGTTGAAATACTTTCATTCATGTTAAAGAAGAAACATGCCTTTTCATGACCTCGTTCTCATAAAATGAATATCTTTCACCTCACTTAAATACAATGTTAAAACCATCATACAGGATCGGATACTTTTCTGGACAAAGCAAGCAAGTTGGCTGGAGTGTACAAGTTATAACATCATTCAGAAGGTATCCCAATCCGATCACCGTCCAGTGTTCGCCACGTTCCAGTAAGATTTTACGATATACCACTCACTATGCCAATCTTTCATTTGGTAAAATACCATAATTTTTCACGGCAGATGATGATCATTGATGATAGGAGCATTAAATACAAAATTAGCTGAGAGAAACACAAAGCAAGGGCCTCAGTGGTGCACTGGGTAACACAAGACGTCTCGGGAAGTGTAATCATGGTTCGATCTGGCCTGCGGTCCAAATTTTGCGAATATCTCAGCGTAGTTGTGGTTTTGTAACACTCACCACTTAGATTCCTATTTATTAAATGTATTCAGGCTAGAAGCGATCAATAAAAAGACACCCAGGAGATTCAACAGCGACCGTACAATTGAAAACTCATCACGTAAGTGCCATGAAGAGAATAACTTAGAAAAAATTGACAGAAGGTTAATGAAGACCCAGGTAACTCGACAAAGCGCATTCCTTAAAGACAGAAGGAAAATTTCGAACCAATACTACCAAAAGCTGCTTTAAGACAGCAAGTACTGTCGTGGAAATTCCAAAACAACCGCGATCCCTACTTTTTATAGACAGAGAAAACATGTTCATTTTCAGAACCTACAGCGGCAACCAGTTGTGGCAACCCACGGAAAACGCCCCTTAAGAGAAACACAAGCCAACAGTAAAACTGCTAATAAAAAACTAAGTTATGCAAAAACTCGATGGTACAGTTAAAACTTAGTTCAGCAAATATAATAAAACCGTACCTTCTTCTCCACCAGACACTCCACATCCGACAAACAAAATACCACGTTTCGCGAGATCGGCACATCGACGCTAAAAAACTGCCTTAAGATGGAAACTTCACATATACAAGGAAACAAGCTTATTGAATATTAATCAACATCCTAATTTATTTCATTATGAAAACTATCATATAACGAAAGTCCCACGGAAACCATAAAGAACAGCATGTTAGATTCCTTACATGCTCTTATGAAATGATCTCGTCGAGCTGATGCGAGGTTAGTGTAAGTTGTTGTTGTTGTTGTTCGTCCATGGCCGACGTTTTGGCGATTTCACCAACAACAACAACAACGACAATTTCTACCAACCTAACACAGCTCAACAAGTTCAATTCATAAGAACATATAAACAAATATCGATTATTATGCGGAGGTTTACAGAGACTCGGTCTTTTGAGTTGTTAGAGACTGTTTGGGTTATCAGACTACTTGCTAAAAAGTGGTTGAGAAATGAGAGATTCACAAAAGTGATAACGCAGAAACAGGACGACGCAGCAATGCAAAGACCGATTTCCTGAAAAGTCGAAGAATTTCCAACGTTGAGCCCGTTACTACCGGATAAACTGAACTCTATCAGATTCAAAGGTATACTTAGTTACACGAGATGTGAAACGTTACGTAGAAATTTTTCAACAATTTTCTTCTCGTGCGCTCAAAAATTCGCCAAGATTCAAACTCGACGTATTGCATTGATGCGCCCAAACCCACTGATAATATTAAACCATGGAAATCTGGGCAATATAGAAACATTTGCACGAAAAGATACAACATATCACTGGTAGTCATAGATAATTCTGAAGATTCGGAACCAACTAGACACCTTCCCCCCATAGAATAGGGTGAAAAGCTATTCTCTTTTTGGCCACTTGGATAAACATCGAATCGGACGGTCAAGTCGTCCTTGACAGGTCGGTTGAATAATCGCATAGACTGTTACACTCGTAGAAGAATCCTACTCATAAGCTAGTGAACCCTTGTGGAATCCTCATACTCTACTCCCTCTATGGATAATGACTGAAATACAACGAAACAAATGGCAATTTTAAAGTTTAGAGGTTATGCGAAGTGTTACAATTGGCCATCTAAGCATGAAAAGTCAGTTCTACGACTAATTCAATAGATTTCAATTCTTAACACATGGGAATCTGATACTAGATTCGCGGGCAAGTAGTTGGTTTCTTCATTATATTGCGTTTAACAAATCAACAACCTAACAAGTACATAAAGTGCAAATTCGTTGGTTAAAGTTGATTTCAAAAGCTTCACTCACGAATTCAAGCTTGACAAATTAGCAATCCGGATATAAACACTAACCATTTACCCACACGCCATCTTTAAATATTCCAAGATGACCATAAGACCGAAATTGGTCAGTGGAAGTTCAAGAAAGCTTATGAACAGAACTGCAAACTTACGTTAGTGTCAGTGTACTCCGAATTTCCGCCATCAATAATAATGTCCCCAGAATCCAAATGAGGCACGATAGACTCAATCATCGAGTCCACTGGTAAACCAGCTTTAACAAGCATCATAACTCGACGTGGTTTCTTCAATTTCCTGAACAAACATGAGTCATCGAAAGGCTGACGAGAAAAACAATAGCTCAAAAAAAGTAGGTCCATTCTTTTTTATTCATGAACACACTGCTGTCCTCTAATTAAATCGTCGCACTCGAATTTTGCATAAAAACTGTACAAAGGTGTAATTATGTAAAAAGGATAAACGATAGAGATCTCGGCGCTGATCAATCCCTTAGGGATTGGCCATGCATTCGACTTCATTAAGCATCGTTGGAGGTGATTGAATGTATACCGTCTTTAGCGAGCGCTGCTATCCTCCCAGAGAAGTCTGGCACCAATTTGCCGACCCCGGAGGGATGGAAGACTTGGCGAGCGCTGGGCGCGGGGTCGATCCCATGTGTATTGCAGGGAGCCTCCGACCACGCGTCCATTCTATCACTACTTAGTAATGAGAAACCATTTGTTGTGATATATCTTCAAAATATTGAAATTATAAACACTAACCTGCACATTTCTTCTATGGAGTGAGCTCCAATGACTTTTGTGTTTCGGGCTTCATTTGCTAGGAATTCGTCTACTTTTGATACAGTTCGATTGAAAGCGCACACCTGAACAGCAAGAAGCGAAAATCCTATTAGAAATGAACCTAAAAGAATGAAAAAATCAAATTAGTTTAGACGATAATGTATCCACTTAGTTAAAGATACATCTTTCCGAGGCGGATTAAATAGATACTTACTTGAATACTTGAATGGGCCGCCTTCACTGGTTGTGCTTGCCCCCGCATAATTTTCACTGTTTCGGAGCTTTGCTGGCTTACCCATTGTGGTACCCTGGAGTCCCGAGGCCAGCCTAATCAAATTCAGCCCCAGGTCGTCACCACCACGGGCAGTGGCTGTCCTTGTGGATCAGAAAAAGTTTGTTACCATGCGACTAGTTTGATACAAGGACGGTGGTGGATCCTGTTATTGGTTTACTCTTAGCTGGGCTTACTGATGGAAACGCCGGACCCAGCTTGGGAGACCCTGTCAGGTATGTATCCTTTTCTGACATTATTTGAACTTCATATGAAAATATCTTAAATCTTAAATCTTAAGTCTTAAATCTTTGCAGAGGGTTGAGATATTTTAATACTATCTTAAATTCCGAAAGCAGTGCTGGGTTCCGTGCAATGTGAGATTGTGGACCATATGAGTATACCGAGTATACGAGGACGGTGGTGGATCCTGTTAATGGGTTACTCTTAGTTGGGCTTATTGACTTATTGATGGAAACGCCGGACTCAGTTTGGGAGACCCTGCCACGGGGATGAATCCCCTTGTACATCGCAGCACGACAAGCAGGAACACCATCCAGCCACTATGAGGCGGGAACCTTTGGAAGGATTAAACAAACAAGTTAAACTTAGTAGAAGACAACACGTACAGTAAATCCATGGTCGTTCATGTTTAGGATCAGATTTTGACCCATGACGGCCAATCCGATAACAGCAATGTCGGCCACTGCTTCACTCATCTCCTTGTCGATAGCGGTTTCTAATATCTAAACAACAAATTTTCATTCTTTCATATGAGACGCAAAAAGGTATGAATTCACTCTTCACTGGAATACATCATGGACCGCCCACGACATGGAAATGGCAATCAATTTTCATGGTGTTTCGTAGCCTTTAAATAAGAATACTGATGTCATGGTAACATTAATTCAATATCAAGAAGCAAGCAGATTATGGCAAGTACCTAACAGGGCTGTACACGACCCATCAAGCCGATCAAGAAAGGAGGAAAAAATGTCAGAAGCAACTAAACAACGGCAGTTTCACAGGTACTAGACGGGAGGACACCTAGGCACCAACAGAACGGACGGCAAGTGATTTCGTTGACAACTTGATAAGTAAGATTACCACATTTGCGGACATTACACTGTGAAACACGCCAAAGAGTGACCAGCACGAGGACGTAGGCAGTATTGCTGGACTCTGAGCGTGATTTAACCTTGAAAGTTCATTCCTCTAGAAGGTTCACAATCACCTCTAGGCGTGGAGTCCTGCCCTTTAAACATGCCTCTTTCGAGCGGTGCTCCATTGAAGAACCCAAATAAACAGTTTTATCGATTTCGTGTTGGCTTAACAATCCAAGAAGGTATTGATTATTACTACCAGGATTAAGTGACGGTGAGTATGAAAATTATTGTTTTGCCAAAAGACATTTTTAGTGTCATTGTTCTTTATTGGATCCAATAAATGAGGTTTCCATGCGAAAACTGGGTTCAGTCACAAGATGGAGGTGATTTCTTAACTGACATATTAAAGCAGGTCAGACCGAAGACGATGGCATGCTCGTCACTGGACTTAAAAGTCGTGTCAGACACACCCTTGTTCTTGGGCTAGGAAGTTTGGATTGTATGTATACCACCATAGAGGTTACTTGAGTAGAAAAAATTGAAGTTAGTATAGGTACGAAGGCGTCACATCTAACACGACTAGCAATGAATAGCAGCCGCTGAAATTTCTTGTAGAAATATCTGCAGAATAGAAAAAATGAAGAGTTTGAGGCAGCTAGATGGAGCAAGTTTTGAGGAAAACCATCAAAGCATATGCGAATATAGTGTTCCGTTAACAATCCTAATGAACGAACCTGGGATTACTATCACCTGGTACCGCTCGATTGGCTTTTTGCCTGTGTTCTGCGACCTCCTCACAAAGAGGGTACTTCTACCACTTACTTTGATGGAGCAATTGTGCTAAGTGGAGAGTAGACCTAGTAGGTTGAAAACCCATGATTCTAACTAAATAACCAGAGATAGATAGTTTTTTGATTATATAGCCCACATGCGTAGGAAATTTGGGGTGTTTTCATAAGAAGGAGGATGAAATGAATGAGGAATTCTAGAAGGAAACGAAGGCCGTGTTAAGAACTCTTTTAGAGCGCACCAATCTCATGAACGACTTAAAATAATAAAGGAATGCTCCCACGTATTTGATTAAACAATTCCTCCACTGAGACGTCAACCACACTGACTGCTTAGACATCATACAGATGGCTTGAAAAATGTGTTCTGAAATCGGCATGGACAACATGAAGGCGGACTTATAAATCCACGCCGAGAAATATTTTGTCTCGTAGATTAAAGAGAATATGCATTGAAAGCGAAATAATCGGCCAGTCATAAATGGCGCTGATGATAGGTCTTCGAGGAAATCCGTGGAAAAAATTCTAAGGCGATAAAAGCCTCCTCTAGGAAGACCTACAAGATGGTCATACGTGTTTGTGGCTTACCCTAACCATATATTTGCGGATGCAAATGAGTTGTTGAAGTGACGCAGATATCACCATTCTGGAAGTAGACAGCCATAATAGGCAAAGATGACGAGGACAAAGAGCGAAGATGAGGGAAAATATCCCGAACCGTGAACGACTGCTCAAGGCTGCCTGTCCTAGTGTCCAAGAAGTGCGTTTACTCGCTATTTCATATTTTTTGCTTGACATTTACTCGTTGATCAAGCATATTTGCATTCGCTAGAGGAATACCCAGAGATTGTATTCTAGTGGTTAACAGGAACCAATTTGTCATTCACCGTGTTGTAGTTGCAAAAGTAATGGCTGATTTTGAACGGCACTTTTGAGATGCTTTAGCACAACTCAAGCAAAACTTCCTTAATCAAAAATAACTGTTAGAAATTCTACGTTTTGTTCCATAAAGACACAAGCGTGCTTATCTCGTTAGCAGAAAGTTCTGAAATTCTCAAAGCGACAATTTCTTCGAAGGCACTTCAGCAACGGTTTCGTAACTGAACATTTCGCCAGCTGCTGACTGTCGGCGTGCAGTGGGAAGATCGAAAGTCAGTTAGCGAGAAATTCTAAGAATAGTGTGAATGAAGCCGAAATACATCGTATTTGAAAAGCTAGTTTTTACTCAATTTCTAATTGAACAGTATAAATTTTGATTTACTGGTAGCATTACATGAAGCGTTCGTAAAACTATTGTGCCTAACGTTTCCGCATCTTTGCCTTCCTCGGAACCACAGTGTTTGCTGTCTACAAGCTTCACTGCATTCGTTTTCTGTGATATGGATATTTGTAGTCACATCGACTCCAATCCAGTAGAGTCACCCACCGCTTGAATGATCGTGGTGTCGGTTGCAAATAAAGTGTAAGATAATGAGCGTAACCATCTCTGTTTGAATTTATCAAATTGTGTTCTCATGAAGTACCAGCGATTGTTACGTTATTATTGATTAGCTGAATTAACTATCTATTCCTAAGTGTACAAAAGCGTTGCTTGTCTTCTTTCAGTGACCTCCCCCAATTCCTACTCATTTCACCACTTCATTATGAGAACACTGAGTGAATCGGTTTTACGTCTTCAAAGGCCTCAGCTGTAATTCATTTCGACTTCAGTACTGGATCATAGTTCAAAGTAACTACGACTACATGGTCAGTAGACACGGCGTTGCTATTGTAGTACTTATTTAACGATAGCTAACGTTTCGGCTAATTTTGCTTCTAAAAAGATCCTGGAACTAATTCAGCAAAGTGGATGCGTATTCTACTAAGCCAAACATTTTCGTAGCCCCAACAGAAATGGCCGAAACCTAAATTTCAAGCACTTAGGAAACTTTTTTTTAGACAATTACCGTTTTTTTAATTATTCTTTCACTCACTGATGGAGACCAACTGCACGGAGTTTACGTGGGTGGGGATGTACTTCTCTCAAGTTAAAAGATTAGCCTAAGATATTGTCAGATGTCGATCAGTGAAATTGGTGTAACTACTTGTTTCTGGATTAGTTTTATACACTAGTTTATTCACAGAGGGGCGTATGTGGCGTTGTGGTCGGAGATGCCCTGCAACACACGTGAAATCGATCCCCGGGCCCATGGCCCATCAAGCCTTCCATGCTCCCGGAGTGGGCAAATTGGTACCAGATTTGTCTGCGAGGATAGCAGCACTGGCTCGGTACATCGGTGGGCCACTGTTAGTCATTGTAAAGGCCAGATATGCATTTAATCACTTCCAAACGATGCTTAATGAAGTCGAACGCATGGCGCATCCCTCATGCATTGATCAACGCCGAGAGCTTCATTCTTCATGCTTTAGTTTATTCATACGTTCGCAAATCAGAACTCTCGATATCACAGGGACTTCTACTCCATTTGCGGATCGGCAAGTTTATGAGTATTATCTAGACGTCTAGTTTTACTTTTTATCCCATATTTTTCTCATGTTACATTGCTAACTATGTCACAACAGCACTGCAGGTATACAAACTAAAAATAAAGGATTTATGTATTTGTTGATTTTTTCTTCCTAACCGGCTCAAGAAAAAAACAGAGACTACATACTGAGCACTTTGCTCTGGCTCTAGATTATTCGAAGTTCACAAGGAAAATTAATACTTCGTGAGAATACGCAACACAAATTTTAATGCTACAAGCATCAGCCTCTACAGAATAACGAATGTTGTTTATATGTAATCAATGGCCTTCACACAAACTTACTTTACAAGCTCTCATTTCATGTACATGCTGGCTGGAATGGACGCCGTAACGTCTTTGTAAGACTGTTCGTCGTTGTACTGCAGTACAAGCAATTAAGCACTTGATCCTGCTATCAGCCATCACCTGTCAACGGGAATGGGGGCTACAAACCTGCTGAGAGGAAGACAAGACAAGCGCTTCGGTTGGTGCACTGAGTAACACGTGAGCTCACAGAAGGAGTAGTCGCGGGTTCGAAGCTCGTCTGAGGTTTCGAGTTCCGGTCATATCTTTGTATTCTTGTGGTTGTATTTCAGATCATACTCTGTTATGAAAAAAAGAATAGGAAGTTAATAAAAGTTAAAAGCATACATTGTTTCGCTTTCTTCAGAATATTCTCTATACCTCCTCCAGTTAAAACCATCTCGGTATTTTTTCAAAAGCCAGCTTTTTTAACATCGGCACAAAGAATTATTACCTTCTAGGTTTATTAAGTTATCGTAAGGTTGGCATGAAACATTTATTCAGCTAACGTTCTAGTGCCTTCGTTAGTATGACGCCAACTTCTGCAGAATACATTTCCACTATAAAAGGGAATCAGCAAATCATATTGGATGCAGGAGATCGACAATCGTGCTGTGTAAAAGTATCTCCAGAATGAGAAGTCGTTCGAGCAGTTCTTCACGCCACTGGATTCGGCTCAAAGCGACAAGAAGATCCATATCACAAAGATGAACGGCTATGAACAGTCCACTCCAATCAACCCGACTCTGAAGAAGGCAAATGCATTAAAATTTTAATCGAATGAAACTTTTCGGTAACTTCATCTTAGCTTAAGTAATCGAGGGAAAGTTTTTTACACAACCGGTCTTCACGATAATTGGTTTTTTTGGATTCCAGTACTGTTTACATTCGATTCGCATTCACAGCAAACTTTATGCACGAAGGTCGTCGATCGTTCTGAATGTGAATTCAGCTACTGCTTGGGTATTTTCTTCTTCTTTACGAATGTCGTTGAATAGTGCTCGAGTCAATCCGCACTAGGCTCCCGAGATAGCAAGTCTAGAGTGTTTGCGCGAGTACACTGGTCCCAGATAAATCTAGTTTCAATTTCTCAGCCCATAGGGTTGAGAAGCTTGGTGGGTCTAGTGTGAACTAGTACTACGCTCGTGATGACCAGCCACTCTACTGCATCACCCTCTTCTATTCAAGAAATTACTGGCTTGATACTTTCGCCAATCCAAATCAATGCATGGGCCAAGTGTGCATTTAGTCATCGTGTAGAATACTTAGTGGAGTTGAATGCATGGAGTAATCCTTGAATTGTTGATCATTCATGGCTGGATCTGTACACAATGGCCAAAAACAGCAAAAGAAGAATCTGCGACGTCTCAGGAATGAGTGAAGACTTCAGTACTACTAACTCAAATGACTCAGTAATCCACTGGATTCCCGGCGACACTGATGACACCGTCAGTTATTGTCGATTACACTACTGTTTAACTATTCTTAAAGTGGAAATCATTTAGTGCTCACTTTTATTCTTATTCATATCAGAATTGCATTCTTTCACTGTGGGCATTGTCTTTATTGCTATGCTTATTTTGTAATTGAAAATAACAATGCTTATTTGGTTAATGTGGAGCATCCGCAAAGTCACCGTCTCCGTATATGTGACGTTTTTTTCTTGAGCAAAGACAAGTTCATTAAAAACCAGATTTATTCAAGCTTTGAATCGAGGCTGAGCTTTCGTCGATTTGGATATTGCCAGAGCCTGGAGAGATCAAGTGGAGAAGCAATCTGCACTTTCGTGACTTTGGCGGAAAAACTCTCATTTTTCTTCCTTTCCTCGGACGTTGCATAGACAACAAGCCCCTTCACAGCGAATTAAACATCAGCTTTCGCATCATTTCGGACGAAGCTCTAGGGGTCTTTAGCTGCTGTAGGAAAAAAAGTTTAGATCTAACCTCACGGTAGCACAAAAAAAAGTGACCTATGACAGGTTCAACAACTAATAAAGTAAGAACTAGTCGATTATTAGTTAATGGTAGAAAGAACCAATTCACAGCTATTTGTTGTTGCCTAGATGTCAACATAACGAAGAAACATCTTCGAGATGTTTTCCTTTATCGTTCGTCACCTGAAAAAGAATACGAAAGTCAGTACCGAAAATTAAACAACAGATGGGCCGATATGGTAAGCGCATCAAGCTTGAAACCAACAAATATTTTTGTAATTAAATTTGAATTACGTTCATGTCCGTCCTATAGTCATTTATCAAAACCCACGAGTTAGCATCCAACGATGATCTAGCATCTACCGATCCTACAACCTTCAAGATTAGACCGGTCTCCAGCTGTATAGACAGGGTTAAGGAGAAAATAACGTGGTTTACAAACTTAATACTCATCCAGTTCCTGAAAATTGGCTTGTTTTTAAACGACCACATTAACAAACGGCTCCATCACCAAGTGGTACTTAAACCAAGTAACAAGAACATACTGGTTCATTATTTCTCCTCTCACCTCTCGCACACAAAAAGGGCGTTTACTAGGAACACGTTTTGAACAACCGCCAGTGTGTACAGGAAGAGAGCGAAGGGATGAATCCCTTAACCTGTCGCGGTAAAGAGCCACCTCCAATACTTACGAAACACTAGCTCCTGGGAATAGGTTCAGAGAAAAAACAAACTTCGCCAAATGACAACTGTAGGGAAAACAAGGCCGTATTTAAGCTGCCTTTCATCTCCAATGAAGTAAGCGCAACTATAAGTAAACGCCAACCTTAAGTGAAAGTCGGTTATAGTACAGTATTGTCACGCTTTGTGCTAGCTATTCTAATATCGACTGCTGCAGGGTGAATTGTCGACATGAACAGAAAAGATTATCAGTTGATAATCAGCCAACAACCACTCTGTATGAGAGAGCGCCACCAGGTGAGGTTTGTCTCATTCGAACGGTTTTCTACTGAAGAGGATTCAACTCGATACGATGAGGTAGACACCACATCGAGAAGACGAACGACTGTAGACGTCTACTTCGATCATCGACTTTGAGGAGAACGAAGACGTCGAAACGTTAACCGAATAAAATATATATAGCAACTTTGTCTATGGTGAACATTCCAAAAAAATCTATTTGTTATTCATGCCGACGTTAAGGGAAAGGCTTAGTACAGCTGTACGTATTGCTCTAAAAATACCATTCTAAAAACTTCCCAGTGATTAGAATGCGAACGCTCTAAAACGTCAGTTAGTTCATGAACGCTTGTATGAGCGCGTTTGTGTAACACAAAATTATATAATCTTCCCAAACGCAGGAGACGGTTACTGCATGAGATCGGGCATGCTTTATTTGATTCTAACGTCTTCCAAAGCGGGTGGAGAAGAATATTTCGGCGTAATCGACATACGTTCGCATGAAAGAAAACTGAATTGGGAAACTTAAAACCAAATGGAACACTCCACTAGTCAAGCTTAGGGCACAAAAGCTTAACGGTGAGGATTTTAAAGCGAAAGCACTAGCAAAGAACTATCCTCGCGATGAGTGTAGCGTTTTGGATAAATTCCAGATATCTAGAAATGAACCGATTGGAGTAGTGCCTTATGCTCACCTGTGACCTCGCGCGATACCTCAAGCTGATTTCTTTACCCGAGCCAGGCACATTCCTCGCCAATGTGGGTATTCTGCGCGGCTGGTCTGCAATGATAACGTGAAATGACTGGGAGGTTTACAAACAAAAACAAAAGCGGTGAGTGTTAAAAAAAGTTGCTTGTTATACGATTGGAATTTAGACTAATGAGTTTTCTGCTGGGGGTATGAAAGTATTCGATTGAGAGGAATGCGTATCAAATAGAATTTTCACGTTCCAGACAGGCGAAACTGCCAAGACGCCAGTCAGTATTGAATAAATCTTATAATTAACAACGTCGTGTTTGCTTAGAAAATAAAATGTTAACTTAATGAACAATCCTGCAGTCTATAGGAAGTAGGTTCTGCAAATCACTGGCTAACCTTTTTCGTTTCGATCTTATTCAATCTCGGTTCAACCAGTAGTCTCACCAAGAACACGTTCACTGTTGTAACAGATTGGTATAAAGATAAAACGTTAATACTAAGTTTTAGATATTTTGTACGTTTTCAGTTTTGTAAATCGTAACAAGAATAAAAAGAATAACAAGAAAAAGATATATTTCGCTTGAGAACAATCCTTCTCTGCCCGGTTGTTTCCTAGGCTCTTCGAAGAATAATGTCCCATTTGAACACGTATTTTTAAAAGTTATATCTCGCCTGAGAACATTTTCTGTTCGCCGAAAGAACTAAGTTGGAATCTTGAATGGAACACTTCACTGTTTGTGCGGGCCCCAGTATGATTTCCATTGTTTCGGAGTTTTGCTGATCTAGCCATTGCTGTTCCCTGGAGTCCCGAGGTCAGCCTGGCCAAAGTCTGCGGCAAGTCTGAATACCACCACAGGCAGTCTTGGCTTTTGTGGATAAGAGGGAGATTTGCCACCATTCCACTAGTTTGATACCAGGATGGTGGTGGATTCTGGTATAGGTTTACTCTTAGCTGGGCTTCTTATTGGAAACGCAGGACAACTTCTCCGCTTGGAAGACCAAGCTGGCGAGATGGATCCTCCAGTTGTACATTGCAACCCGACGCCCCGAAACACCTCTCAGCCACGATGAGGCGGTAAACCGTTGCGATTTTTATCCAGCGACTTGGGCTCACCAAGTCCTCTATATCTCCGTGTTGGACAAATTATGACTAGATTTGTCTAGGAAGATAGGAAGCACCAACTTATCACATTGCTTGGCCACCGTGAGTTATTCTATAAGTCACTTCTAAGGACGCAATCACTTCTGTGATATTTGATTGAGTTAAAGGCATGGTGCTTCGCTAAGGGTTTGATCAATACAGAGCGTTTAATTCTTTATCAATACTGAGCAAAATAAATTATGATGATCGACATAAATGTAACGGACTAGGTTGAATGTACATTGAATGACTAATGAGCAAATTGTAAATTTACATGACTAATGAATAAATACTAAATGACTAACTAAACCAAATTAGACAAAGTAGAGATATAAGGCCACGAAGTAAAATCCTGAAACGAAAGAAATTTGTACTTGGAGACAATCGTAGTGGGAGAATAAAGGTAGGAAATAATGCAGAATGTTTAGGTATTCCTAAGAACTGTTTGAGAATTATTCGAAAATATCCTTAAGAGGTTATAACTTGAGGAGACGATCTTGAAAAATTTACATTTTTGGTTCTTATTTTCGTAATGGAAATAAATGAAACACACCTAATAATGCTACTTTTTTTGGATCTTTTCTGCTTCTATGTAAGAATGGATTACAATTCAAGCGACGCAACGACACAAATGCATTCAATTCAATATAACTTAAATTAGGACAGTTGGGCTTATGTTCGCTTCATGTTTCGAATTTTGTCCAACCATGACTTCTTGTCTGCTTTTGACAGCCGGCTGGGGTTCGCGGAAGCCGATGGTGGAGGAGGTGGTGGTGGCGGTGTTGGCGGCGGTGGACTGCATCCGGTTCTAGGTGGATCGAGAATTTCCATCACGGCATGCCGTTCTGGTGGTCGCGATTCCAGCCGAGGTAAGAAAGTTTTCTAGATAACATTCACTTGATACGAACGTGTCGAAAATCTGTGCTTTTTCTTTGCTGTTGTAGGAAAGTTGAAAGCATTAAAAGCGTGCTTGAAACCTCTACTAGAAGTGTTTCGAGTGAATTTCTGAAATAGAGTTTGCCTCATTATCATTATAGGGCTCTCCTTTGCCTCATCGAAATAAATAGTAGAATACAGGAAGTGCATCGAGTTTGCTTCGATGATTTGCTAATAGTATTACAGAATTTACCACCTAATAGTATAAGTCGCTCTATGTCACATAAATATTTCTTCATAATTTCCTTTAAGAATTTGGCATACCACAAGGTAGGTAATTCGAACAGAAATTCGGTTCTGCTTTACCGTTTTTCGTTGTGCGATTTGCGATGGTGGTTTGATCCGAGTTAGATGGACTGGTTGCGACCGTTGAATCCTTGACGCTCGTCGTTCGGGAGTTTCACCAGAATTTTCACGAATGTCGTCTCGTTTTCGTTCGTCTTTCTGTCGTATGTCGCATGTCGACCGTTCGTGAGTGTCCATACTATAACCTCGTTCGAGTTTTCGCACTCGTTCCCGTCTCGCAATTTCTGCCAGCTCATTGTAAGCTAAATGGTATATTTTTATAGAATCAAAAAAGATGTGACTGATGAATCTCACTTAAGCAAAAAAAACCTAGTAGGTGTACAGCAACTTGCCCTTTGCTTGGAACTCGTCACAGGTTGTCAATAGTAGAATCTATATAAGCTATAGAATGCAGATGTAATTTGTCTTAAAGGAAATAGTGATGCTATTAATCTGAATAATACCAGCCACTTTGGCTTCGCCCCTTCCCTAATGGTCTACCTTCCTTATCACAGGTTCTCCTTAATGTTGAACTGTAGTTTACAAAGAGGTTGTTTAACCGGTGAAGGAGAGTGGCTTATATGGCATGCATAGGCGCCGACGGTGTCATATCGGTGCGTATTTTAACTGTTCGTTTTTCGTTTGCTTACGAAAAGTCAAATAATTAGATTCCATCGAAGTTTTTTCTACCACTTTGAGAAAACGAATGCCTAAAAGTATGGTTACATCGCGCTGAGTTGGTAACGTAATTGTCGGCTGGATTTTATGGGACCTAATTCTCCACATTTTGTTCCTAAAATGACAACCAGTAGATTATTCCCAGCTGCGAATCCGAAACCGTTTGTGACTTTGGTCATGACGTTTGATTTTCCGGAGTGGTGACCGGGATATGGTTTGTTGTTACTACATATTCAAATACAGTGTAAGTAATAGACACTTACTTCCACATGAGAATTTGTCGGAAAATTTTCTGGACATCACCGGAGTGGTGACCGGGTTGCGAAATGGTAGATCTTGCAGCGAGGATGTTGGTATTTGTCCAGCGTCCATAGGTCTGAAAACAGTAAAGTCGAATATTTTATAATTTGCATTAAAAAGAAGTGCTTTGACAGTGGAGAGTGCGTAGATGGAAAGTTCAAGGCCCATGTGTATTCGAGCTCGACTCAAATTGACAGAGTACAAGTGTCTGGCTCCTTATATGAACATGTGCTTGAAGACTGCGGTCAGCAGTCAACGGACACATCGTGTTGTCTGTTAAAAGCAAATATTCGGCTGCTCTAATGTCAAATTTGCTGAAATACATGCAATGCAGATGAGAACTGAATGCAACTAGTGGAGCGAACATTTCTCTTCAGATTGTCTCAATAATTTCCACGGAAGAAACTACTTGTAGGAGTCATTATTTCAAAAATTGTGTGGAAAATCGTTGCGGTTGCATTTGCTGGTAAATTGTGCCGAAGAACTATATCATCGAGGTGTTGGGAGGCATGATGGCTTATGAATGTGTAAAAAGTGCCAGTTGTAAAAGTTGTAGATTGTGAAGAAAACCTTTAAGCACACCGTTTACAACATTAATGGAATTGTCAGAATAAAAGTTGGGAGTTCTTTCTATTTCCCAAGGATTCTGTCCACACAACGATGAATCCGTACTGTTCGCACGCCTGTTTCTTTTATGCACCAAACTGAAAAACATTTATACAAGCCTCGCCAGTGATTTAAGTATCTAGTGGTGTAGGTAGGAAGTTTAATGTATATGCAAGCGAATCCTCAGAGGGGCTTCTTGTCTCTGCTGCACCGAGTTTACTTACACTTCCAGGAATATAAGCAATCATATTCGTTCACGTGAATATGCTTATGGACTGCATCCTGGACCAATATTTCGGTAAGCATAGAGGCATGTAATCGAGAAGCTCATAAGAAGCAGTTCTAGTTTGCCTCCAGAAGAAAAGCTGCACAACCGATAGCAGAAAACCATCGAGGAATCCGAGGGTTCACTGATTCCTTGGTGATCGACAGGTTTAGGCGCGCGCCGTAAAGGCAGGTGGTGGTCCAAGAACGAAACATAAGAGTAATCTTCGTGCTCGACGACAAGAGCGAGCAAAGTCAACTTGAACAACCAAGAAAAGACCGAGAGGGATTCATGGTGTGGCCACGTTATCATTCGCAGCACAAGATCAAAAGGGAAAAGGAAGTTGGAAGAAGGATAAAAATGCTTCAATTATTTCTAAATAATTTTCGCATTGCCGGAAACAAGAGAGCTTTTGCTTTTCGTTATCTAATACGAATACAATCTCTAAGAAATACACGAAATTCTCGTATAACAAGCAACGAAAATATATTATATTATTTCTCCCCACCTCTGGCCGCATCCATCGATACTTGGTTGGCGGCGCGCTTTTGTGCTTCTTCTGTTTTCTTCAAAACGTCGCCAACGACGCTGTTCTTCTACTTCGACCAAACTGAAGAGGAGAAAAGTGTGTTACGTACGATTATATGAATTTCCTCAAAATTCTCCAGACTTTCATCACGAAAAGTTCTTGAGGTTGAACTAAGTTGAATGGATAAGCCAACTACTCTATTAGGCACAATGTATATCGTACTTTAAAAGAAACCAAGATCGAAAGAAAAATGAATATCTGAATGAAATTTATGGGCATCTAAAACATCCTAGTTTGTCATCTCTATAAAATTTTTCAGTGCTAAAAATACACTATTTTCAATTTTGACGCTCGAAATTCCTCAACGAGGAACTAACCAAGAAATAAAAGAGTTATTGTACAGTAATTAAATTATTTATTTTCAAATAACCCGACACCATATATTATGTGGATTTCAGCAATTTTCCATTCAACCTAATTTCTTGCGTTTTCGACCCACCAAAAATCCTCGGATTTAAGTGTGGGTTTGACTGCTCCTTGAGCATTTTGTCCTTTACGAATGTCGTCGAATTTCGACGGAGTCGATCCTACTTAAAATTCTTGAACTGTCGTGGTAAAACATTTCCTCGTGTTCATCAAAGAAAGTTACACCCTTTAAGTGATCGGAAGAAGCATTCCAGACAAGTTTGGAACGAACTTCACGACCTCGGAGGCATGGGAGACTTTTTTGGGCTGGGGCGGGGTTAAAGAAGGCGTGTGCTATTGAACAACATCTCTACCAATGTGCTAAATATGCGCTAAACCCAATAAAATTATTGTTGCACAATAGTTTTTTTTTAATCGAATTACGATTAGTAAAGATGATTAGAAGCCTTCAGCTACTATTGTATCCACTTTAGCAATACACCCTATAAAAGTCGGAATGATAATTGTGAGAAGCAAAGCAGCGCAAAAAGGAGGGAGACGGGAGAAGAGCGAAAAAGAGGGGAAAGTAAGGGAAAGGTGTTTAGTCGAATTGTTGCCAAAACTCATCTGATATTAACCATTGTTTGGCAAAAGCACTCCACAACTAGGATGCTTAATTTTATTACCATCTAAAGTGTTTCTAATTATGAAACATCCCACTACAACCGTTTCAGTACATTTAACGTGTGTTTCAACAAATGTGTAGATATTGCACCAAGGTAGTCGAAGTAGTTCCAACAAGGAAACTCATTCAAAAAAAACGACGGAAAAGACAAACTCTTTTTAAAATCATTTAGAGGAAAAGGAAATAATAAAAAATAAGGAAAAAGTAGCGATAAGTTGGGGTAAAGAATAGGTCAGAGACATAACAAATAAAGAAGATGACGATTAATAGATAAACGATAAACAAAAAAGACAGAAAACCTCATTGGTCGGTTTGACGAAGTACGTGGTCGTTCACGAACAGAAGGCGGTGGCACTTTACGGTTCCTAGTGGACGACATTTCCCTCATCATGTACTCAATACGGCTCGATGCACTTGGTGGTGGCTTGTCAGCTGTCGGCGGTAGTGGTACCGTATCTGAATGCAAAACTCATTATGTATTAGTGTCAGTGAAATCGCTTTGTATGCGTATAAGCGGGAAATTCGAGCATCCTGATAATTTTTGCCTATATAAGTGGCCACAATTATTGATTTACTGGTAACGTTTAGTACGGATCGAAGAAGATACCGAGAATTTCCTCTTCCTTTTCCTATGGATTATTCATGCAAGCGTGCCACGTCACTCGAAGTATTATCTGCTTCATATTGTCATTGGTCTATGAACTTAAATTTTCTCCTATTTCTAACTTCTGTTGTGTCAAACTAATCTCGTCTTCTTCTTTCAGATTTTCGTTATAGGTTTTTTAAACTTATTTGGTTTGTTTGATCTTTTTCCTTGGTTTCACTAAGAAACAGAAAATTATTCAAGTTTCAAATAACGAACACAGAATTTATTGCCCTAGGACATAAAGGACATAGAAATTTGTCACGTTTCGAATGAAAAGATCCTCCTAGTATGTCCTCCTACTTTTTCAACGTTTCAGCTACATCGTGAAAATTCAAAGCTCTGCGATTTCCGCTAAGGTTTAGTTGGATACTGCTAAGCGACTTTAACCGTTTAGCTTATCAGTGAAACACTTCCTAATCATCTTTTCACCCTAACCGTCCCATCAGCAGGCACCCTCAACGTAACCGATCCAGGGAGCACAAATCGGCATTAAACTCAGTTAACTGAGGCTGTAGTCCAAATCACAATGTACACAACTTTTATCTAGTGCCAATCCTTTTTTATGGGGCACTATGTAAAATACAACCACTACGATGGTGAGATGTTTGCAAAATTTGAACGCCAGGTCGGATCGAACAGTGATTATTCTTTCCGATGGCTCCGGCGTTACGCTTGGCATCACTGAGGCCCTCGTTCTGCTTCTCTCTTCGTAATAATGTTGCTGTTAATAATACTAAGAGGGATATTAGTCAACAATGGTAGGATGTTTGGTTCAACTACACTCTTAAACATTTCTCTAGTATTGATTTACTTACGCCTGCCGTCACCGAACATTTTGTGGAACTCTATTTCTAGATCTTTTTCGTGATCAATGGCTTTTTTGTTCACAATTCTTCTCGAGTTCTCAATTCGGGAGCCTTGTAGTTTGAATGGCAAGAAGAAATTCATGTCGCGTTTGACCTAAAATTGAAAAATGACTAGCGAATTTCCGTGATGAAGGAAAATTTGCGTTCACTTAGTTCAAATCAGCTAGTAAAAAACGGATCGGGAAAAGACTATTCATTTATAAATGATAGAAAATTATCGCAGATGGCTTCCACTGAAGCTTTAGGCTTCTTGCTTAACATTTTTGCGGTTGGCCGTATTCACCAAAAAGAAAAAAAGAATAGAACAATGCAGATGGGAGTGGACGAGTTGTCCGAGTTGTCCAAAATCTTTTGTAACTCTTTTCTGTAGATGTTCACATTTTTAAGCAAATTACTCTACTTAGTAATAGAAAAGCTTACTACTCTGTCAAGCAAATCCTCGCCATGGAAAGAAGAAGGACGTCTTCTGCGATTTTCGCCGAGTTTTATGCGAAGGCGCTCGTTCTATAATAGAAAAACACTACAAGGAATAAAACGGCAATGATCGGTGGTTTAGAAGCAGCACCGAAAAAGAATCCGAATACGATCACTACAAAAGACATGGTAATAGACAGGACTAAATATTAAAATACTGAAAAAGCCTCAGGATTTCAGAAAGAGGAGTGGGTGAAATTCAAAGGCCAAACTGTACGTTTTTCAACGCTTTCTATAGAACTAGTGACAATTTTTGCAAAACACCTCTGTAAAATAGAAAAGTGGATATTTACCGTTTTTTCACTATAGAGGAAAAATGCTAAGCTACACAACCACATGGGTCTCTTCAGAATAATGAGCCGCCGATAAGTTCTATTTAACAGTAACGAAATAATAGTGAAAACCGTCTACGGATTAAAGAGAGTGGTACATTTTTGCAAACGCGAAATATGAAATTTATTTCACGTTCTACTTAGGCGTTTGTGCGAAAGCTTACGTCTTACTGGGCCACAATGCTTGCAAGTGGTGCCCGTCGTTGATCCATTTTCTTCGACTAACAGACAACCAGCAGCAAGATATTATATCTGTGGTGGGACAAAAAAAACTTATCTACATCATCTCCAAGTCAGAAATTCACGTAACATTAAAGAAAACTGGAGATTTCTCAATAGTTCAGCTCGCACCTTTCTAATGAAAATGAAGCCCAGTGGTAAAGCCCCCAACAATTATGTTAGTCGGAAAGTTACGGTACTCTAAAGAGAATTTCGCCACAACTGTTAAGACACTTCATTTTCAGTTTTTTTTGAAGCTTTTTGCTCCTATTTTTTAGGCGATCTAGTACTTCTCAGAAAGTGAGGAGATCTTTGAAGCCCGCGTCCACAATTATAGTCGTCCTATGACAGACTGATAAGGATAGATTGCTTGACTTACTTATACTATCCGATAATTGAAACATTTTCGAAGTGAATTGATTAATCCAAACTCACCTGAGCATGAGTGACGAGAAGTGACGATTGAGCTGCAATGAGATCCAGTTCCGTTCGACTCATCTCACTGTCTTTGTCCAACAATGACCACTTCAGGTCCGTATACTTTCTCAGCAGTTGCTGTGTGAAGCTATATAACATCTCGTATGAGGGCAGTGCGTCGATTTTACGCTTCCAGAGGTTATCACTACAACCAGACTCTAAAATATTATAATTTATACACATACATTTGTCCCACCTCCCAACGGTTTACCGCCTCATCGTGGCTGGGAGATGTTCATGGGTGTCGGACTGCGATGTACAGCGTGGGATTCATCCCTTGGCAGGGTCTTCCAAGCTGAGAAGGAGTCCGACGTTTCCTTCAGGAAGCCTAGCTAAGAGTAAAGCAGTACCAGGATCTACCATCATCCTGGTATCAAAGTCGCATGGTGGCAAATCTCCCTCTGATCGACAAGGGCTGCGACTACCCGTGGTGGTGAAGACCTTGGGCAGACTTTGGCCAGACTGACCTCGGAACTCCAGGAAACCATAACGGCTTAATCAGTAAATCTCTGAAAAATGGAGATTATGCTAGTGCTCACGCAACCTGTGAGGATGGGTCATTCAAGTATCAAGTAAGTAAGTATATTTGCACCTACCAAACATTAGCCAGGCTTAACGAATGCTTATCGGCTTTGATAAAGCATGTGGAAAGATTAGTCTTCGACTAAATCTCACAAAAACGATGTTCATGGGAAGCGGATATGCTCCACTCAAGCTCGACGAAACGGATATCTCCGAATGCTCCAGTTATGTCTATCTAGGTCGGGAAATCAATATGATGAACGACCTAACTCCGTCCCCACCTTTCCGATCCAACGGTACTTCCTGCCCTAACGTATGCGCCAGAAATCTGGTCGCTGCGAAAAGAGGATGAGAAATCACTCCACGTTATGAACGCGCAGTCGATGGGCGATGCTGGGCGTATCCCGTGTTACGCAAGTAAGGGAAGGGATTCGAAGCTCCGACCAACGTCGGCGATCAAAAACCAAAGATGCCTGTTTTTACGCCAAACAGTCGAAGAAAAGGTGGGCCGGGTACGTAATGCTTTTGAACGACATTCGATGGACAGGAGCCGTTAGTGACTGGATTCCTCGGGATGTCAAACGTATTGCAAGAAGACCACCGACTCGATGGTCAGAGCTCTTCACGAAGAGCCTAGAAAAAAGATATGATGCTCATCGAGTCCCTAACGCGAGCAGAACCCACTGGTCTATTCTTGCACGCGACATGGAAAAAATGGAAGATTTACAGAGCGCCCGCTCGAGTCACTTGACTATCAACGGGACTGCAGGTGATACACGTGATATTTGTACCCATATTAAATGGATGAAGTAGGAGCCGAGCAGCGCTGTGGTAGTGGCGCCGACCATCACAAGCATGGTACTTGTTGGACCCCTCTCGAGCTCACCAAGACTTTGTTCCCTTTAGGATCAGAAAATTTGTTGTAGCTTGTAAAACACGAGGCAAAGCTAAATTAAGCTGCTGTATACAAGTAAGACGAAGATATGAAAATGTAGGAGATGCAAATCACCCAAAGGTTTACCGCCTCACCGTGGATGGCAAGTGTTGCTCGATGTCGGGCTGCGATGTACAGCGAGGGGATTCTTCCCTCCGTCAAGACTTCTCAAGCCGAGGAGGAGTTCGGAGTTTCAATTATAAATCCCAGCTAAGAGTAGACCGATACCAGGATCCGTCACTGTCCTGATACCAAAAGAGTCGCATTGTGGCAAATATTTCTCTGATTTACAGAGGTGGCGACTGCTCGTGGTGGTGACGATGGTATTATGTTCTAGTCTTGATTTTATTCCGTTCAAATTATGGTAAAATGTTGACAAGCCATTGTGAGAAGATGAATATACAATTTTATACACTCCTCTAATTCTAGAATAAATGGTACTTTATGCTATTAATATTGAAAGCCCTCCCAACTGTTTTTCGCTTCATCGTAGCTGGGAGGTGTTCCTGGATGTCGGACTGCAATGTACAGCGGAGGGATTCGTCCCATCGGCGGGGTCTCCCAAGCTGAGAAGGGGTCTGGCGTTTCTATCAGGAAGCCCAGCTAAGAGTAAACCAATACCAGGATCAACCACCGTTCTGGTATCAAAGTCGCATGGTGGTAAATCTCCCTCTGATCCACAAGGGCTGCGACTACCCGTGGTGGTGAAGACCTTGGGCAGACTTTGGCCAGACTGACCTCGGGACTCCAGGAAACCATAACGGCTTAATCAGTAAATCTCTGAAAAATGGAGATTATGCTAGTGCTCACACAACCTGTGAGGACGGGCCGTCCAGGTTTCCAAGTAAGGAAATGCAAAAGTGGTTTGAACATTGACAATTAAATAAATATATAGCTAGATACCACAGAAAAATTGCCAAGTCTGTTGGTAAACATACAAGCAGCTAGAAAAGAAGTTGTTTACTCACCTAAGTACCTGCTCTGCACCAGTGCAAAATGTTCTCGTTGTAGTTCTTCAAGTCTTTCCAAACAAGCACTGTGAGCGTTTCGCTCATTTGACAAATTGTTCAGCGTCTGTAATCTCATCTGTCTCAACAGTTTGTCACTTTAGAATTCTATTGATGTTCGTCTATGTAAGGAAAAATGTACTGATGGTTTGCTAGAAAAAACTCGTAGCCTCAGATGCGCTTTAAGCCAGCGATTACCCCTTCTTAAGGCACAAATATTATTCAGTGCATCATTGTGGTCCTTGCTTTGCCTTTCTCTGAACCAGCTTTTACCGTAACGGTGCTATCACTAGTCACTCGTCAACAGGAATGATCTGGAGAGCACAAATCGGCATTGAACCGAGTTAGGCTGAAGATGCAATCTGATTGAGAAAAAGGCAAAACATGGACCTCGGTTGGCTCACCAGATAACACGTGAGACCCGAAAGATGTAACAGCGGGTTCGAAGCGCAACTGAGGTTCCCAGTTTTGTTCATATATAGGCATTATTTTGTTTGTATCGCACAGCATGATCTTCTAGGGAAACATAACAGGCAGTAAATTAAAGTCCAACGTCCTCAATTTCTAATTACTGCCTATATTTTTTTAATGGCAGGATTCCGGGTCTTAGGATGTGAAATATAATCACAATTTTGCTGAGATATTTGGAGAATCGTCAGACCGCTGGTGTCTGTGGTGGGGATCAAACACGCTATTAGCCTTTCCGGGGGTTAACACGTTCACCACCACACCATGCGGGTCATTCGTATCGCCTGTCTCTCAGCCGTGTTATTGGCCTATAGGCGCTATCAAGCAGCAGACACCAGTGGTCTGGAGTTCTCAACAACATTGTGGTTAAAGTTCAACATTGTCGGAGGACTTACTGTGAATATCCATCAACATCCACGTATATCTAGAGACTTTCACCTATACCACTGTACTTTCGTGCTCCTACGTTAATCGGTCGTAGGGCAGCACAGATTTATTGTTAACAAGTTTAATAAAAGCAGAATGTTATAGAATATTACAGCGACTAAGCTGGTGGGACGGCAAATTAATGCAGTAATAGAATAATTACATTGATGTTGGACGCGTACATCGCAGTGGTTAGAGGCGCCGTGCAGTACACATTGGATCGCTTCCACGTTGCAAGCCCACCACCGCAAATTGATACCAGAGTTGTTTGGGAGGATAGCAGCACTGGCTCGATACATCGGTAGAACACTGTCAGTCACTGTATAAGCCCATTCATTCGCCTCCAACTATGCTTGATGAAGTCGGATGCACGGCGCATCCCTCAGGGATTGATCAACGTCGAAAGCTTTATCCCATATCACTATCGGATCTATCTATTATTCACAGAAATTTGGAAAGCAAAATTGAACAACAAGGTTAAATAAAGTGGGATTTGAATAGTAGATGTTGCCACTGATGTGCCAACAATGCGTGCAATTTCCATCTTTGAAATTTTAGCGTGATTTTTTTTCTGGAAATGCACTTTCTTTAAAAAAGCTTTCCAAAGGGTGGGAAAAATTTTCCGTTTATATTTGTTGATGGTTTTGTTTTCAGCGCATAGTTTTATTGCCCTCTGTCTCATCGAAGAAATGCTGAACAGACGGAAGGGGAGAAAATCATGGTTTTTTAATATGCTCCATTTAAAATGTAAAACTAGGAAAGTGGATGAGAGCATTGATGAAAAAACAACGAACGAACCCAGTCAACTATGCTATTGCCGAATATAAAAGTGACGAATTGATGCTATCAGAGGAAAGGCGAGTGCGTGCTGTATGAAGTGGTCATGAAAAGGCAAAAATTTTGGAAAAAGTAACTGAGTCCTTCTCAATGTTTATGGAGCAACTTTAACTTCGACCACTAGAATTTTCTATAAAGTCAATAAATTAGTCAATATTTCATGATCAAAGGATAGCGTTCCATTTACACCTGAGCGGATTGGATCCAGATTCTGGAAACTTCCAGAACTCCGTGACGTAGTTTTAATGTTACAAAATTCACTGATATGTTGTTTTGCTGATTCTGACGATGAACGATTGAAACAGGCCTATGTATCAACGATTTTGCATCTGAAACTAACTTTTTGTTGTGCATTGACAGCATCCAGTTTCGCACACTGTACTTGATGCTGAAGATGACGAAGACGATCTTCTACCTGCAATCGGCAACTTTGAATACTTTTGAATGGAATGAAAACTTGAGTAAAATCAGAAAAAGGAAATTTTCATTTAGTCACCATGAAATTTTGAGCCGAATGACTATCAAGCTCATGATGGTGGCGCATTGTCGCTCGCCTTTAAAGGAATGTCAACGCATCATTCGTAAATCACTGCTGCTTTATGATAGGTTTGAAGAAGATATCACACTGTTGACACCCTACTTCGGTACTCATGCCTCGTAAATTATCCATCACCTTACGAGCGGTGGAGAATGTTATGTATAGCTGGCTGCTGTTGCATTTTATGTGCTTTTATAGCTAATTTTACGTCGGCAAGTGAAACATGGTGCAGGGCTGCCGAACAGATAGGCGAAAGGATTGCACTAGTGGGATTTTACATCACAAAGGGTGCCAGGAAGAATCGCGTCGTCGATAACCAAAGACAAAAACCTTAGGCGCATGCATCCAGATTTCGCAGATCAGATGAGCTAAACGCGTAATTGGATTCTTTGACAACCACTTGGAAAGGATCGTCAGCTAATGATTGTGTCTGTGACCTCAACAGGAAGACAATCTAACAGATGCTCAGATTTTTTCATGTGAGAGCGCTGAACGAGAGATATAACGGTGTTTGTTTCTTTGGAGTGAGCACCACTTACTGGGAACCTATATCAAACAACAGAACAATGTAGACGAAATTTTATTCTCGACAGTTTAACCTTCAGCAGAAAGAATATCTTAGAACAGTGCATTGTCAACTGCGATGTGCTACTGTGATCTGTTCAGATACCCTGCTTGAATAGTTATAAAATGGTAAATGCTGTCGTGAGCGTTAAGAAATATCTGCTTAAAGAGCTAATAAAGAAAGTTAACCTTTTCTAGAGCACTCATCGATCCTTTAATAAGTCGTTCGTCGAGCGTTAATTTGTCTAAGGCTGCATTTAATGCGCATCGCTGGCTCAAAGCCACAATCTGTAAAGTAGCTTTCATTTGCACAAGGATAATGCGACTAAATAATTTCGCAAAAAAAACAACAATGAAGTGTAGGTTTGTTTTTCGAAGATCTTTTTGGCTGTTTAACTTACTTGTTCGTCGAGTTGATGTGCGTGAAATTGAAGTTTACTAAACTGAACGCTTTTGTCACGAAGCTGTTCAACTAAACGCTGATTGCGCATCTGAAATTTAAGATGGAAACCTGAGGCATCCTGGAAAAAGAAAGATGAGGAGCATGTTTGAAAGGATAAAAAACCGAGGGCTACAAAAAGTGACAACGAAATGTAAACCTTGAGTTCTTCGATTTCCGCTTCGAGATTCTGCTTGTCGTGTCGCAGCTTTGTTTCGCGATCAACACGAAGAAGATTTCCTTAAAGGATAAAAATAAATTTGAAGAGTAAATATGTTTGAAATCAATACTAGGAATTGTACAGTTTACAGAGAATGTGAAGAAACTGATTGGAACACCCAATTTTTTGACATCTTTCAATGCTCCGTTGAATTCTTACAACTGGTATACATTGCAAATGTCTCTTCTGATGTTACTTTTACCTGGATGATCATAATTGTTGTGGACATTTAGGAATGAATTCGCTTTCGCTTTCACTTTCATTCGTAGATTATCCGAATCATCGCTGTCGTCTATAGGATAGTAGGATACTGGGCGGGGTGGCTAAAATTCATCGTCATTTCAGAATCAATGCTTTTTACGCCTCGAATACATCCTTTACTTGCTTCCAAGCTTAACTGCAGGCGTTTTTGAGGGCTCTAGGTTTTCCAGCCTAATCGTTATAATTGGGCAATCGTATCAGAAAAAATTGATCTCACCTTTGTTGCTTGCCGTGGTCGATGACTTGTGTTCTCTGAAATCGTTTAGAATTTTTTCAGTGTTTGTTTTCGTTTTCCATGAGAAAGAAGGATAAAGCTTTCGGCGTCGATCAATCCTTGAGGGATGCGCTATCCATTCCACTTTATTAAACATTGTTTAGAGGTGATTGTATGAATATCTGGTTTTTACAATGACTCGCGGTGGCCTACCGATGTATCGAACCACTACTGAGGCCCGCTCAGACAAGTTTGGTACCAATTTGCCAACCCCGGAGGGATGGAACGCTCGGTGGACCATGGGCGCGAGGTTCGATTCCACGTGTGTGTCGCAGTGGCGCCTCCAACCACTGCAGTACACGCGCCCCTCTTCGTGGTCCACAACAGGGATTTTTTTAAATAAAGAGGAAGCTCCACGAAACTAAATGAGAAACCGAAAAAAGTGATAAATGCCACCTATATTTGCATATAATCCACTAGACTCGTCATCGGATACTCGACGTTTCCGTTTCTTCGGAATTGGTTTCTTTTGAGTCTGCAAGGAGGTAGCCGATGTTGCTACATTTCGCTTTCGAAAACCGATCAACTCCAGGAACGACGAACGACTCGACGCTGAAGTTTGAAGTTTTACGAACTACACAACATTTGTTTGATTGTGGACATGAAATGTCTACAGTCTTACTCATAGCTTCGCTGGGATCTCTACTTGACGATGCTGAAGACGGACTCGTGTACTCCGACATGGACATGTCGCAACGACGAATAGCATTGCGGCGATTGCGACGTTCAATCTGCGATAACCTTAGCAATAATAGAATTTCAACTACAATGTCGATATAAATAAGTTCGTGCCGTCTCCGTGACGAAATGTGGTCCACACGTGAAGTTGAAATCCAGACACTTGAAAATATTTTCTAATTGTCTTTATCTGAGCCTCCATTCTGAGAGAGCTTAATACTAAGCAAAAGACACCCATGGCAGTATTTGTAAACCAATAGATACACAGATACAAAAAAATACTGAAATGAAAGGCCGGCCTTATACAAAAAGTATGATGTTTTCCTCGTTTTTCAGATCTGTAGCGCCTACCGAGCAACTCTATGGCGTCTCAAGAATTAGTGAAGACTTTATCAATACCAGGTTAAGTACACAAATGATCCACTAGGCTACCGATGAAATTGCTAATATATGTTGCTGATTACTTAATCTACTTTTAATTGGGCTAACTAAAAAAATCACAAGGTACGTCATTTACCTCAGCGTGTGTTTGATTGCAGCTTTTGTTCTAATTCATATCAATGTGCTCTATTTAAAAATAAACATTTGTATGGTCAAGGTGGCACGGTGTGCACATCCACCGTCTTACCGGGTAGTCTCCTTCAATTTCACTGTCACTTAGTTCCGGTTCAACCAACGGCGGAGCCCGAGTACGCGTTGACAGTTGTGAGAGATCCGTAGATATTGAAGACGTTGACATTGGGTCCTAGATAATTTGTACGTTCTGGAGTTTATACATGACACTAATAATAATAACAAGAATTATGTGAGAAAAAGATGTTCCGTCCACTCTGAATGTCTACTTAGCCGCAATGAAGGGGTGAATTAAGAGGGGCTGAGCTAAAATGTGGAGTAGTGGGTTCATCCAGGGCTAGGTCACCAAATTTGAGAACGAAAAATTTTATATTTACGTCTGAGATAATAGGTAAAAGAATACTAATGTAAAGCGCAGTCAGGGAAAAAAGTGGCAGCCAGTTGGTAAATCACCCTCTAATTTACACGCACCCGCTTGTGACTGTAGTAACAACCTGCGAACGCAGCGGTGTGACTTTCTCGAGAACGTGGGGTAAACCCCTAGCTCCCTTCTCCTCTCCCTATATAAGTGAGATGTATAATAAAGCTGGAGCTGTGCTAGAGTCTCTACTATGGTTTTGTGAAAACGGGTTAGTTGAGTACAAAGAATTATATTAAATTCTTTGACTATGATAAAGTTGACTCTTTATGAGATACAAAATATCATATTTCTACTTATATGTTCGGTTTAGCATACCATTTTTGGTTAGGCTGTAATTTTACTTGCCGTTTAAGGTCATAAGTTATCAATTTTCTGCCACCATAAACGTTTTCTCTTTTCTAAAAAACATCCATCACAATGATCTTAGACGTTCGGTGTCCATCCTGACATCGACTTGCATGAGAAGACTAGTGGTAGGAAGGGTGTAGGCATCCGTTAGACCTCAAAGGACACCGATGAAAAAGATAGGAAGATAAAAGCGACTGGCCGAAAAAATCGATTCTTTGCGCTCTGTCACTCACTAAACCCTTTCAGCCCTGTAGTGATCGCCAACGCCTCACAGGGTTGACATGCTTTATTACATACATAGGATGCTTTATTATTTTTTCCTCCTTTTCTTTTTCACTTCTTTCTTCCTTTCACACTCTTTTTCTCCTTCTTCCTCTCGCTCTCTGTTATTTTGTGGTAGACAATTGAAGTGCTGGACAGATGAAGACAATAGCAAGTCAAGAAGACTATACGTTTTGCATGAACGAACCTAAGAATACAAGTGCTCATTGTTCAACAACCGGTGAATCGTAGGCAAAATATCATTGGATTATCGAAGGAGAAAAATGATAACAGATAGCGCCGAATAGGTATAAATGAACATTGTTGATCGGTAAGCGTTTTCGACGTCGTTCACTAGGAAAAAGGTCTGATTACGTTCGTCACTTGGGGATGCCATCAAGTGTGATTGGAACTAACTTGACTGTAACAAAACACTTCACCTGCATAGGCACTACTAAGACAGATTATCACCATGGATGCTAAATTAAAAGCCACATGGAGAATGCGCATTCGAATGACGAATGGCGTCGCTTGTGAACAACCTTTGAGCTAAAGTGAAACTAATATATTTCTGTCTTCTTTGAAAAATAACGCGGAAGAACAAAGCATTCTTCATTAAACTTCGTTTTTCGGCCCTTTTTTTAGGGGACCCGTCATCATATATTGCCTAGATCCCAGCGCTTCTTGCATTCGTTTGTTCTTCTCTCATCCCCCGATCACTAAAGTATGCGGGTTTAACTGCTCTTTAACGATTTTTGGTTTTCTATTTTATTGTGCTTCAATTCTGGCCTAACCGATTGTGCGTATCCGAAAACCGATCATAGAATAGCCGAACCTGTAATCTGAGGTATTCGATCTTATGGACGACAGCGAGCTTCCCACACAAGTTTGGTGCCGATTCCCTGACGTTACAATGAAAGGAGGCTTGTCTGATTTAGCGAGGAATAAAGCACGGTTGTACAGAACTGCATCATCATCATATCACATCACTATAACTGCGCAACCCGCGCCTTTTCGTTGAAGTACCCAATTTATTTTAGTGGCTAGATTCCTTCCCTATTTAAAATTTCTGGCTGGGTATCATGAAATTGTCTTAATTAGTATGTGGGATTTCATTATCGACTACTAATACAAGTTTTTAAGTACGTGTGGAGCAGTGGTTAGAGGAGCACTACAATACACATAGGTTCGTTGCCACGCCCACACTCATCAAGCCTCCGATCCTGCCAAGGTCGCCAATTTTGTACTCGATCTGTCAGAGAGGATAGCAGCACTGACTCGATGCATCCATAGGCCACCGCGAGTTATTGTAAAGGTCAGATATGCATTCATTCATTTCCAAACGATGTTGAATGAAGTTGAATGCATGGCGCGTCCCTCAAGAACTGATCAACGATGAGAGCTTTATCGTTCAATATTTAATGCGAGTGTCTACAATCCACCATCAATTTCTCGATATCTTTGCAAATGGAATTAAGTCATGACTAGAACCTTTCTAGGCGGCGTGGTTAGTCGTTCTCGTGCTCCGGTGCGTATCTCGGTGTGAGTAGCTCGACGAAGCCGAGGGAATATGTTCGTGTGGGAGTCGAAAATCGCCGACATTCGTTGAACAACGTTCTAAATTGTGATAACATCATTATGATATCGATTCGAAAAACATAAACCAATGAGCTAAGTGAAAGCAAAGGTTTGCTACGAAGCATGCACAAACATTCCTGAAATAACATCTGGAAATTTTTTATAATACAATGATGATTCCATTGCAAATCGACTTTTAGTTAACCTCGATGTAAATAATCGAGTGCTTTCTTTCATTGGTAGGTTAATAGGAGGTTGTTGCCCAACATTTATTCGGCTAACGACTGCGCGTAATAGTTACTGTGTAGAAAAAATACGTCGAATGCAGGTTATTTTTTAAATGTCCTTTGAAATCTTCCGTTTTGAAGTTTGAGGAAGTTGAAGTTCCTATTACCTGCGAAAGGTGATAAGTTTATAACTGAAAAGCACCAATGTACTCCGAATAATGGATAAATATTATGTGACTCAGAAATTGATGTCCGACTGCTACTTGCATTCTCAAAGTGGCATATTTTAGCTCGGAACAACCTTATTAGTTAAAATTGAAATCGCTGAAATATGCAGATTTTTGAAAATGAAGGACAAGCTTATTTATACCAGTACCATGATATTCTAGACTTCCAGAAGCAATGAGAGCTTTAAAGGCAGTTTTGGGCTCGACTTCTTTTCCAAACCAGTTCTATCAGAGGAAGTTGTCGAGATGCTTGAAGAAGTAGAAATTGGTTAGCGAAAGGTGTTGGGAGTATGGTAGATAAAACAAAGTTTCGTAGCCCAGTTCATTTAACCTGTGCAGAGAAGATAGTTGTGATATGTGGCCGCGTAATATTACGAGGAAAGATTGGTCTTTTTCTGCTGGGCAGTGATGAGCTCATACGTGGCAGTTAATCTGGTTAATTTTGTCGACTTGCTAGATGTACTTTTTCACCGCACTCATTTTAGATAGATTCACAAAGGTGCGATGAAATAAATGAGTAGCAAAGCCCCAAACGGTAAGCATGCAATTTCGGCTTTGGGCAAGTACCGCCGAGATTCATCGCTGTCCAATCAATGGACCGTTCGTCGCCAGTTGTCGTAGAGATTCATTTGCATTTTCAAAGTGCCACAATACTTTCGAGAAACAAATTGCTCTGGTTGAACAGAAAAAGGTGCCGCGATACCTCAGAACAGCGACTGCTCTGGTTGCTGTTCAATTCCGGATGACTCCGTTTGTCCAGCTTTAGGTTAGGTACCATTTAATGTTCTTCAGATAGTTCGCAACAATTTGGATTCTTACATCGAATCCTGCTTCTACCAAAGCCATCAATCTGTCGTCCTCAGTAGAAGAAACATTCCGCGACCTCGCTCATATTCGATTTCCATTAAATAGAATTCGAAATTACCACAACGAAATTTTGTCAATCAGCGTTGCACTGGGTGTTCGATGGCTTGTCTCACTTCCCCTTGACCCTTGGAGCCATTTGGCTGCACTACCTCGGACTTGGAATTCCTAGGAGCAGATCTGTGAAAGTTTCTCCTCAAATATCTGAAATTTTAGCCTTCAACATATTCCAAGTGCTCAATTTATCCTAAGATCGACTTTCTATTGACCAATTTTAACCACAATTTGTGTTCATGTTTTAATACTTTAATATGTTTCTATGTACGGGACGAAAGTCCATAAAATAAACATTGCAATAATGTACAATAATACAGCATTCAAAAAAGTTGCTGCTAATGCGCATTTACATGTGTATATTTTTTTATAAAATAAAAACCACAAAGCTCCTTACGTCGATCAATTTCTGACGGAGGCACCATGCATTCGACTTCATTAAGCATCTTTGAAGGTGATTGAATGAATATCTGACCTTTACAATGACTTCTTGTGGTTTACGAATGTATAGAGTCAGTGCAACTATCCTCCCAAGCAAGTCCGGTACCAAATTGCCGACCGTGGAACGATGAAAGTGTTGGTGAGCCTTGGCGAGGGGATCGATTATATTGCACGCCGTCTCCGACCACTGAGCTACACACGACCATTCAAATATGTATGTAAATATATGTATGCATACATATGTATACGAACTCGTTATCTTTCTTCCAGAGTTTTCGTGAAGAACTGTGATCATTCGGTCGGTGGTCTTTCTGCAAAACGTTTGACATTCCGTGGTGTGCAATTATTATCGGCTCTTCTTCGTTGGCTGCCGTTCATAAGCTTTACGTGTCCAGCGCACATCATTTTTGATAAGTTGACGTGTAGAACGATACCTTTGATTTTTGATCGTTGACGTTGATCGGAGCTTCGGATTCTTTCCCTCGTTTTCGTGATCCGTGTACTTCTAGTATCGTCCTTCGACTGCGTATTCAATAACACTGTCCATCCAATCTTCCAATCCTACGTAGCGACCAAGCTTCTATGGCACACGCGAAGGCAGGAAGAATATAGAGGAATCGAAAACGTAGGCGCGGGTGCTCTTCATTCTCTTCACTACATTCTCGACGCTTTTAAAAACTTCCCAAGCCGTTTTCTTCTTCTGCCTAACTACAGAGCCAAGTCGTCCATCTTGTTGATTTTCCTACCCAAACAGACATAGCTGGCCAATCCGGAGATATTGGCACACTTGAGCATGAATAGAAAAAAAACCAATCTGTTCCTCATGAACATTGCTTTTGCGAGATTTATCGAAGACCACACGCACACATATATATAGCCATGTATATATAGGAGCGCTTGCATGTTCTATGGTTCGATCGAGCCATTGTATATGCCAGGTATTCATTCGGTCACTTTCAGCGATGCTTGATTAGGTAGCATGCACGGTGCATCCCACAAGGATCCAGAAACGGCGAGAGCTTTATCCATTACGCTTTATATATATATATATATATATATATATATCGATAGATTCAGTAAATAAAAATAAAATTGCAAATCGAACAATAATATCCGGTCAATCTAACGATAAAAAGCTGCAGTAAATCTTCCGAGAAAGAGCAATTATGATTAAATGCGATGTATCATTGTTGAAATCGCTGACATCCTGCGTTTCTCTTTTTTTCACATCCATTTTTACCACAAACATTTTTCACTGTCTTACCAGCGACGCTTTTTTTAAATTATTTAAAATAGAAATTGCCAAGACTTAGCACTTTTGATCGTGATGGGGGCGGAGCGAGTCGTGTTTTCAGACGTCTATTTTCCGTTCGTAAAGAACCAATTTCGTCCACAAGGCTGCATAAAACACCTTAATACGAAGCTATTAAAAACCGTTTTTGTCATTATTTTTGTTGATTTCAAGCTCTACTTATACTCTTATAATTTGTCTCACATATTTACACAAAAAATACACTAATAAATAATAGCGGAGAGACAGGAAAAACGAATGACCTGCATGGTGTGGTGGCGAACGCGTTAGCCCGCTGAATGGGTAATAGCGCGTTCGTTCCCCACCGCAGACACCTGCGGTCCGCAGTTTTGCAAATAGCTTAGCATCATTGTGGCTATATCACACGTGATACCCTGTCGTGGGAAATTGTAATAGGCGACTTTCTATTAACCTCGGCAATGATTAGTAATTCGCTGCTTTTTTTTGATGGACAAAGATGAGGTTGTTAGTTTACTCGTTACTGATGAAAAACTGACGTTTCGGCGAAAATCGTCTTCTTCAGAGCCTGGAAAGTCATATTAACCTCAATGTACGCAACCAAACACTTGCAGAACATCTATTGATAAGCCACGACACCTAATTTTCAACATCGTTAGAAATAAAGCGGCTTGTTCGCATAATTTCAGATTTCCACGAGTTTTCCACTGAGTATTTCACGCGGAAAACAATCGTGCAGAGCTCCTCACATGGAGGAGTAATGAGCCACTCTCACGTTAAAATATCGGTCATAGCTGTTGTGTGACATCTCAAGTGTTAATGAGGCTTTTCCCTGCCGTTTATTCGGTTCACCGAAGGTGGAAAATGTTTTAGATTCTTGAACGAACGGTCTGACTACATTAAACTTACCCTCGAGAAACCGAGAAAACTGGCTTCCATTTTTGAGTCCTTTAGTTAACCTATCCGAAAACGGCTACATCACGAACTGGTACCGAAAACCATGTAGCCAAAACGTGACTGGTTCTTTATCCCTCCCATACACAAAAAGGGTGCTTGTAAAAAATATGTTTCGAACAGTCACCAGCGTGTGTGCAGCAAGAAAGCAGAAGGAGGAATCCCTGCAACTGGCGCTGCAATTAGCCATTTCCGACATCCACGAAGTTATAGCCCTCGGGATAGGTCTAGAGGAAGAAGCGTGCCCCCAAATGATATTTCTAGTGAAAAAGGCCCTTTTTCTTTCGCCCTTTTTTTCTAAGAAAATAAGCAGAGCTATAAAACGTTGCCTAAAAACAGCTGGTCTTGATAATTCGGTAGCAGTGACTGATACAACACTCAACGCACTAAATCCCCACCTAGTTCGTCGTAACTGCCTGTGCCATCTAAACACGACGCAGAATTGCATAATTTGCTCCAATAGTAGAAACGGAAATTGCAAGAGTTCGTGTACGGTGTACCTAAGTAAAGCATTCGAAGAGAAATCGGCGAAATGGGTGGAGCATCATGTGTCCATATTAAAGAACACTTAGATGATAAGTTCGGAGCTTAATAAAATACTCTACTAGGAGCATACAGAACACGAAGACATAATGTGGAAGATTTTGAAGTGGAAGTCGCCATACTCGCAAAGGAATCGAAAACTTCGGCGCGTAAAACTCTCGAAGTATTGTTAAATTTCGAGTCCGAATATGAACTGCTAGGAAGAATGCATCATTATCACGCATGAACCCCCACGATGTCTCACGCTGATTTTTCAATGTTACAGTAAGACATTTTTCATCCATGTGTACTCTGCGCTGTTAGTCTTCACGTGAAATACTCAGCAGAAGACTCGTGGAAAGTGGTGAATGTGCGAATAGCTGTTTTATGTCTAGGGCGATTGAAAATAGGAGTCGTGATTTTCCTAATGTTAAGGCTTTTCAGCAGGTGTTTCGCTAACTAAGTTGCAGTTCTTACCTTTATAGGCTCTGAAAAAGTCGAAACCCTCCTAAACAGCTTTTTCGTTAGTTAAGAATAAAGCAACAACTTCGTTTTCGTTCATCAAGAAAACATTGAGTTATTTGATCAGTGCCGAATCTAATGGGTGGTGCGTCTTGAGAGTTACTAGTGTATGCAATAGAAATAAGATCAATCAGTAAATCGATACTGAGAATAGGCGCTGGATCTTGTGGTACTTCGTCATCTTGTTCGCTATTCTGAAGTGATGCACGCATATCTTCAAGCTCGCGTAAGAATTCATCCTCTTCCGATTCATACCTGAACGAAGTTATACAAATGGAGTCACTCGCAACAAAGTTCTTAAAAACTATCTGCTAGGTCCATGTCTTTCGAGAGGTTTACTTTATGAATTTAACAGTATATTGGTTCAGTTCCCCCAGATTCTAGCGATAGACGACTTCGTTGATTGGAGACCAACTTGACAATTAGCGCCTGTATTTATTCACAAACAGTTATTGAAATATGTGATGCCAAATATTTATTTTCCCACTAATTTCCCGGTTTTGCTTTTGTTTCTTGATCGTTCTCAATGAGGAATCCTTAGCCGGTTTATCACTATGCTACGTGGCGCTTCCCCATGGAGTGAGTAGAAGAGTGTTCATTGATGGATGCAAGGAATGAGGAACGGGTCCCGTGATAATTCTCGTTAAAGTGGTTTTTACGCAGCTCTGTTATTTGTCAGTAAGCATCTGTGTTTTTACGACATGCCCTTGATGAGTTTGTAATGACCTGACCAGAAGCTGTCAAAACAGAATTTGGTTCACACTCGCTTGCACATTGGCTGACTTCGCATTCTTCAGAACTGAATTTTTGTTGTCCGCTGTTTTAGCAAATAGGATATTTCCTGCATCAATCCGCGTCTGACGGTTTGAAAGCTACAAAGAGAATCTTATTTTATAGGAAAAAAACAAAAAGAAAGCCCATTCAGGCAATCGGGATTTCAAAAAGAGTTCAACACGAAGGAGGCTACACATTGAAACTCGCTGAAGTTTAGTGAAACTGCAGTAAAGCGTTCTCCGAAGATATCATCTTCCTAAAAAAGCCTTAGACTCAGCTGCGGTAGAGAAGGTTAGAAAACCAGCAACGTCCACATAGAATTTCTTTCCCGAAATTTCGCACTTCTCCATCGACATAGTAAGCAACGTAACTAATGAGTTCCGATTAGGTGATTTCTCTCAGTAATATCGTTATGTTCCTCTCTTAAAATTGACGTGCGCATATTAAAATGGTATCACATGGGAGCCATGGGAGCAACAATCAACCGTCAGCAGCTATCTTTAATTTGTTAATGACACCAGCCTTATAAAATCAAACACTTTAATTCTGACTTATAATATCCTCGTTCCTCCCAACGGTTTACCTCCTCATCGTGACTGAGACGTGTTTCTGGGTGTAGGACTGCAATGTACAGCGGGTTATTTATTATTTATTCCCTGGCAAGGTTTCCCAAGCTGAGAAGGACTCCGGCGTTTCCATCAAGAAACCTAGCTAACAGCAAACCGACACCAGAATCCACCACCGTCCTGGTATCAGAGTCGCATGGTGGTAAATCTCCCTCTGATCCACAAAGGCTGCAACTGCCCGTGGTGGTGAAGACCTGGGGCAGGCTTTGGCCAGGCTGACCTCGGGACTCCAGGGAACCATAGTGGCTTAACCAGCAAAACACCGAAATATGGAGATTATGCTGAGGCCTGCACAACCAGTGAGGACGGGCCATCCAAGTATCAAGTATCAAGTAATATTCTCGTTTATATTTGCAAGCTTATCTTCATTATGGCTAATGTTTGAATGGTATCGCCTACCACACAGTCGCGGTGATTCGAGTTGACTGTTCCTCTGAAGGCTTAGATCACAAATGAAACAACTGCTACGGACACTCGAATTGAATTATTAAAAGCCTTTGGTAAAGCTTGCAAAACTACCATAAATTTTTCAAAACAAAAAAGAACCCTCTCCCTTGTATTCAGTTCTCTAATTCCACACTTCTCTTTTCATTGTACTTCTCGGAAATATGGACATTGCGCAGAGATGTGAAAAGGGAGTTAATGGTCAAGTGCTCAACAGGAAAGCCGGCGAATAGATGTTTCTTACTGAGGGTTCTAGAATAAAAAGTTTTGCTCTTTGAGTCTTTAAGCAGGATTCTACTAAAGAAATCATCTATGCGGCCCTGACCAATAGAAACTTTAACGACATCTGCACGTGTTGTTTCGTGATTAATTTCTAGTTGAGGTGGTAACGCAGAATTTCCAATAATTTGCCGAATTTCTAAGCTTAAGGTAACCTTAGCAGTAAGCTGAAAATGGCGAATGTGGCCAGAGATTTTATGTATAAGAAAACCCTTTGTTTAAACACTTCCTATACTTTATTGTATACACTATTTTATAGATTTTTAAAGTGTCATTGCGATTTTCATTTCATAGTTAGTGACAAAGTAAAGTTTTGCCAATCGAAAAAAGTTTACAAATAAAGTGCTAGCTCGTATTTATTAATTATTACATTTTTACAAATATTCGCTGTTTTTCTATCTACGTGTCGGGTAACGTAGGGAGAGGAATGCTGTCCACTACGAATACAGTTTTGCTTCGATCACGTTCCCGACCGTCCCAGTCTTTTATCCTTCAGTGGCCGGAAAATTGAAAGTATATCACAGGCACTTTTTGCATAACAGCAAAATACAACAACAAAAATTTTTTTGAAACCACAATGACGCTGAGATGTTTGCCAAACTCGTACACTGAGCTTCGAACCTGATATTTACCCTCTCCGTAGGCTCATATGCTACCCACAGCATCACCGAGGTCCTTGTTGTGCTTCCCTCAGCAAATCTTTAATCTTAATTATTGCTAGAGTAAAGGACTAGCTGAGAAAAAGGAAGAGCAAAGTTTCGGTGACGTAGTGGGTTGCAGGTGAGCTATTGGAAAGGGCGATCGTGGGCTCGAAGCTCTCTTGAAGTTCCGAGTTTTGCTCATATCTCAGCATGATTGTGGTTCATATCACATACTATCCAGCTGTGAGAAAACAATAAGTGGTAGTAAATAAAACATTACAATCTTCTGTGTTTTAACCACTGCTTTTAAGAAAGTCACTTCATTTCACCAGCGGTTTGCTATCGCGTCGTAGACTACTGTAGTTGCTCACCTGTCAAGCTTTTTTCTTTTTTCTCTCAATCTAAGAGAAGATCATGATTCTTTACCAAGAATTTCTAAAAGCGATTTATTTGTAAACTTTAACAGTAATAAAAAAATAATTTTCCACTGCCAAGAAAAGAAATTCTTAAGTTTGTTTTTCGTTACATTTCTCTCCTGTGCAGGAGTTAGGGAATCTTCGCTCTTCAGCCATTGTGAAACCTCATATCGGACAATTAGCGAAATCTCATACATTGGAATTAGTAGAGTCTTGTTGATTAACGATCACTAAGATCGAAAATGAATAAAGAAGGAAACGATGAATGCGGAGAAAGAGGTAAGGGGTCTAATTGCTCTCATCAAAATGCTATAGAAATTATTGCCCATCGTCAGCAACCTTCTAGCGACTAACAGATCTAAACTGAGTATCTAATCACATTTTTTCCCTCGATGTAAGCGTTCTAACTTCCCCGATCTTTGCGAATAGACGTCAAATTTGTTCTGTAAGAGTACTTCAGTTGTATAGCTCTCTGACAAAAATATCCAAAATTTAACCCACAAATTGTTTTCGTCATATTCGTGACAATTTATTGAAAATCTTTGCAAGGCCGGTATTTTAGACTTTTCAAGCATTGTCGCGAATATATGAATTTTCATTTTTGTGACTGTTTTCCCTTAGGAAAGAAGAAAGGAAGAAAGAAAAATCGATATAGCAAAAGAACTAGTGCTTTCAACATATCCCTTCTAATAAAACGTACAACTTCTTACACTCGACTCAGCTACTTGTCGAATCCTCGCTTTTTCAATTCGGTGGCAATACAATCTTTTTTCAGAAGTAACTCCCCCGTTTCCTCTAATACCAACAGTATTCACTCGCTTGGTCACATATTTCTCTCACTGCTGTATTATTTCTGATAAATTTTTGCTTTTCGTAGGAAAAAAGAGCACATTGCGAAAACAGCATATCAATCAACTGCTTGCAATATTTTTCGTAATTATTTAATATTCATATTCACATCGATTTATTAATGTGTACCTCTACACGCCTATGTGAGCTTTGGTTGTCTCCCTCGTGGGCGTCCATTCGTTGAGGAGTTAGGATCGTCCCACTACTGGGAGAGATCCCGTGACCGGATAGCTGCCCACAATAGTACCCCAACCTTAAATAGCAGAATCCAAAGAGCTACTCGTGAATAATCACTAGTAAAAAATAGTGTAGGTCAAAATATCCTACAGTAAAGTGTCTTATTCGCTCTTCGTATCCCTCGAACTGGCATAGCCTTTTCGTGTGGTTCTGGCCCACGATAGGAACGAATGAAGACTACTGTTATCTGTCGGAGTTAATCGGTGGTTGAAGGACTTACGAATGATGCAGGTGGTAGAACTACATGGTGTTCTCGCGATTTAGTAATAAAATAAAAGAAAAGAATACGTAAAAAATCATGCAGAACGGCCTAAACCTCAGTTTCTATAAATAATGAGATACTATACATGCGCATATCATGAAAAACGCAATATATAATTTATGGAGGATAAAGTACAAAGCGTTCGGCGTCAGTCATTACCCAGACATGTTGCAATGCATTTTTACTTATTGCTCATATCAGCAAGCTGAATAAATGAATATTAGGGTCTTACAATAATCTTCGGAAGCCTGGATAAATCAGCTAAGTTGGTGTGTTTGGTTTGCTCAGAACATGGAATTGAACCAAAGGCCACATGTACCTCTTCAAAGCACACATTGCTGTACACACACCCGCATAATACACATAAAGAAATAGGGCATAAGTCCTACAGTATGATTGCTTCTTGAAAGCTTAAAGAGAATTTGTTGATGTTATCAAGTTCTGGTTCCTCCATATCATCGTTAAAATGCTGCAGACGGAAATGGATCATTCTTGTGAGATTCATCCCCACCATTTCTCATCTATCGAAACATCGCTGACGCAGTTTCTGGAAACTTCCTTTCGTTCGATGACTTACGACGTGCCATTGAAGTCCAATTTCGTTGCTAGTAGATCCTTACCAGAAGAGCAATTCCTCAAGGGAGGCGTGACGGCGCAATATGGCCGGTGTGCAGCAGGCGATGATGAGCGTAGCATTATCGTTTCATCTTACTGCTCTTCTCGTTCATCATTCTACCACATAGAATATTCTTTAAAATGGATTTTATGATCCAGGGTTATCAAAAACTTTTCCCATATTTCTCCACCACTCAAGAAAACCGCAATCGCAAATATTCATTCTTTAGTTCTTTCCCGTGGGGCAGCAAATCGACCAATAGCTTAGGTTGTTAAAGAACTTTAAAGAGAAGCTATTAGAATTGTGCAAAAGCAGTAATACTTTGTCAGTGTGCTACGACTCTATTTATTCCAAAAACACCTGTGGAATGAGGTCACGATGTTCTAGAACGGAAAAATTCTTCTCAGACATTCTTTTCAGTTGTTTCCTTTTCGGGAATTTTTACTTAGAAACAAATTATTAAGAGGGATGGGTTCTTTGACTTCATTCGGGGTCGAACCAAAGCTTTCCGGATACTGAGCGGCATTGCTACCACAGCGCCACGAGCCTCACAGCATCAATTCCTTGTCATTCACATAACGTTTAGACGTAATAATCTTACAATACATCAAATACATAATAACATCGTTTTTATGCACTATTGCAATCGTATTTCTTCTTTCAGGACTTTGTTAAATGTACTACTAATGAACAGCGTCTCATTAACACCAAATCATTTCAACTATTGTTGCTTGACCATTCACAGGTTAAGGTTTAGTTTTGTTAGTTCCAAAAACTTATTTCTCGCAGATTTTTTCACATATGTACGTTATCAATCTGACTATCTTATTACTATCTCATATTATCGTCACTGATGTTATGCAGACTTGTTTCTATGAAAAGCGATGGACCCAATTAACAATGACGTTCTAAAAATCTGTGCAAAATCAATTAGAGAAAGTGCTATCTGACCTGTCCAGTATCTCTCTGACCGAATAGGAACCGGACGAGTTCACAGAGCCGGCAGTAGCCGCTGGAGTGATGGCGGTCATTTTCGGGAATGAAGGGCGCTGTCCCATCGGGCTTCTCTCGTTGATCGGTCGGTGTAAAGTCATTCGGCCAAAACAGCCGGATCATCTGCACCGATCGTTGTCACAATCCACAATATCGAGTTGAATGCGCGAAAACATACTGAGGGATCCTAGAAACGAAGAGTATAGACATCTTAGAAGAGGCTGTTCGATGTGGAGAAGTAAAGGATATTCCGATGGTATCCTCTGTTAGCCATAAATGAAAACTGCACTAGAAGTGAACGATGTACCTCGCGTGAATTAACGATAATCCACCATTTCTCTACAATTTTGAATCGGTTTCTACTTCTGCTTCAACTGGAAATTTCGATTTTCCAGTTTTTCTCTTCTTTTTCATCAATGAGAGCTAATAAGTGCTTAGGTAATTCACCTGTGTAGGAGATTTTTGATTCATAGACAACTTTACGTCTTTCCATTTCTCTTATCTTCGTTGAAGAGTGAAAAAAGGAAAAATCCCGGAAACTATTTTCCTGAATAATAAAAGTAAATCAAGAACAACTTATCAAGATGAAAATAGCTCACGATCAACTAGCGAAAAAGATTCAAGGGTAACTTAAACCAAAAATAACCTACCCATCTTCAAAAATAACTCTGAAGACGGTGGCATATTTTACGTTCAACTGATATGCTACTTCTTTTGTAATATTCTTTTCCGTTAGATTCCGTAGATGACCGTTCCAGGGTGTTTTCAACACCTATTACCAGTACCACTCCGTTAGTTTACTCTAAGTCCGGCTTCCCAGTGGTAACGACGAACTCGACAGTTTATGTGGTCTTGCTTTCTGGGGAGGAAATGTACCGCAGCTGCACATTACAATTCGACAATCTTGAATACCATCCAGCAACGACGTGGCGGTAAACAAAGAGAAAGCCCACCCATATTATTATTATTGCTACCATAATTATTATTATTAACATTATTGTAGTAATTCTAATTGCTGTCACAAGAAATGAAAAGTATTTTTCATTAATTGCTAATTGCTTGTGCTTAGATTATAGTACGCAGCCTTTTCATATTTATTTAACTAACACAAAGCTTAACAATTTTTTATAAGAGCTGAAGGTCTCCAGCTACGGTTGACTCATAATTCATAAACATTTATCTTTACGAAAACCATATGCTGCTTTTTTACAAAACTCAGAACTCACCTGTAGAAACTGTTATCCCTTCATTTTTGAGTAACTTAAGTCGCCAATAAATTCTCCATTCGTCCATTTAAAGGCAGTACAACGAACTCCGTCCGCTCAATGGGAACGAACATCATCACAGCTTTGAAACAGGACCCTACCTCTTGATTGTGACTTAAGTTTGTGAAACAGGAGACCCATCTCAAGACAAGGTATCCTGAACTTAGAAAAAGTTTGACATCTTCATTTGGAAAAAGTAAGAGTTGTCATTGTCATCATCACAAGCAGAGGCCTGCTTGCTAGCAAGGCGTGGTGGAGAAGTCCTACTACTTCGTAGGAGACATTAAAGGCAGAGAGAATTCACCGAGTTATTAGTCGACTTGAAAATGTTTTGGGTTTTGAATTTGAGATAGATTGCTAACTATTGTTTTGTCGTAGGACAAATTACCAGCTTTATTACCATTCCTGTCATCTAATTGTTCGCTTAAAAATGGCTGCCGAACTATTTATAGCTAATGTGATATAACCGTTCACAAAAAACAATGTTTATTGCAGTGAACTTCTCTTGATCAAACTCCAACTCGAGCTGCAAATTCCCTTAACAGTTTCACAAATGCTATTTACATGCTGAAAAAGAAGTGTTTCAGAAGACTTTCTCAGGACTGTCAAGAGTGTCTTGCTATGAAGTACATTTATTCGGTAGCAACATGTTTCTAATCGCCAACGATACTCAGCCTTAGAATCTTCCCGATTCAAACACTGTTTAAAAGGATTGTAACTTTCTCTTGAATCACCGCGATCATGCACAGAATATATCCATGAGACAATTTTGGAACTTGAGTAAGAAACTCTTCCTTATTTGCAATTTTCCTGAACGTTTCGCTTTTTTATTAGAATAAATTGCATCCCATAAGAGTCACCTGACGGACAACGGCTATCGACTTTCAAAAATGCCGTCTCTCTAATTTCAACTGTTTCGTCCATAGAGGCCACGTTGATTCGACATGGATCAGACTATAGCTTGTCGTTTTTTCATCCTTCATACTGAATGACTTACGGATTGCTATTCGAATGAGGTCTTCTCTGGAAGCCTATGGTAGTTGTGCCACACTTCCATCCATAAATACAAATATGTTTGTGCATATGTTTATCTGCTGCCTGTGGATCTGTTTTCTTCTCACGTCACTGATATTTTGGTTCTTCGAACCACCATTTTTCCGGAATTTAGGGACTGCGTTATTAGAGTGCTGACAGTTCTTAACCAACAGTAATAGTCTTGCTTTTGTGGATCTAATGGGGAATGGCAGCGACTCATACGACCATTTGGTAAGCCCATCGGTTGCGATATAGAGTAGTGAATTCGATAAAAGAAGTTTGTGAAAATCAGATAACTTGACATCACATTTTGATCGCGTCGTAGTCTAAAATTTCTATCACGATGAAGTTATGAGCTATTATAGTAAATTGTAGCAAAGTTATAGGATTTTGAAAGTCTTAAGATAAAAAGGCAACGCAAAACTATAGTAATTACAATTACAGTAATTCAGTAATTACATTTCGAAAAATGGTTCACTGGTTTTCCTTCTTCTACGTCTCCTTTTCTCTTCATTGCATCGACTTTGACAGTGGCAGCACCGCATAGTTTTTGTGAAAAATCATGAAGATAAGGCATAGTTTTCATTTCGCGCGGACGAATCCTGAATAAAATGGCAAGATGTTCTCAATGTCATCAGAATGACGGGGACAGAAACATGAAATGAGACGGTAGTACTGACAGGTGACGGCGAGTTGTCACCTCTCTATGCTGCTTTCTCGCCTCGGACGCATGATAAGGCTGACCTCATTGTATTTTCAAGCGACTACTTCCGAACTGATTAGGCTTATTAAATGAAAGAAAGTGAAAGTTTCAGGTCTCTTCTTTGGGGCGTTTGACGAATTCTGTCTTTGCCGGCGAGTGACTGGTATGGGAATGATAACATCTTTTGGTGAAGTTTACGCAATAATGAAAAACAAGAATTCATCATAAATTCCACAAAAACCCTCACCAATGCGAAAGACCACCAATTGAAAACGGACAAGATTTTTTTTGAATCTTTTACCTGATACTTTGCTTCACATACAGATTAGCATCAACTACCACAGGCGAATTCCTTGTGATGATGTTCCGTTCGATAACGTACTATCGTAGCCTTCCTAGTATCTCGAACGAGTTGGTAGCAATTTGAAACAGTTAAATGGAAGTGTCAAAACCAACACAAGGGTTGGAGATAGCGGGACTTCTAAGCAAATATGGATGAAGCTGTCTGTTTCCCTGTCGACGAGTTATTCATGGAAGAATAAAGTGACGACCAAATGAGGTAAGTTCGAAATCCTTAGTTTAAATATTTTCTGAAACAGTAGATGTTAAGTTTATCTGAACGAACTATAACTTCAGTGATGCTGAGATATTTACAAAATCTTCGGACCGCAGGTGTATGCGGTGGGGAACGAACGCGATATTGTGCTTTCTGGTGAGTAGCGCGTTCACCACCACACCATCCGGATCCTTCGTTTCGCCTGTCTCTTAGCTAGTTCTATCGATCTTTGCCACAGCAATCACCCGTCAACGGCGTTGATCTGGGGAACCCAATGGATAAGGCACAGTTTTGTTCCCATTGCATATCAGATCTCATTTGTAGCTTAGATTGCTCAAGAGATACGATGAGCGTCGCAGTCCTGGTACAGTGACCTGCTTTTACTTTATTGCTTTTGTTGCGAAAACAGTTCAAGTTATTAGTTCTTCTTGTTCGCTCTGCCATAACAGAGGTTTACTACTACCTGCGCCATTGGTTGGGAATCTCTCAAGCCTTTTTGGATCATGGAGCCTATTGAAAATTGAAAACTTCATAATATCTTTCAGATGACCTTATATCCTAGTCCTGGTCAGATCTATTGACCAAGGATAGAAGATTGATCAATGGTTACAACTGTAAGGCTTTGCTAGATAATTTAGGGATCTATTGTGATTTTGAGCTCATTTCACTTCACATATTCCGCTACCGTGCAGTTTTTCTTTGTCGAGGACGCCTTTGCATGAGACAGAGAGGAGTGTGCGTTTTGCTAACCTTAAGGCAATTTACGATTTGCTCGATAAGAAGGATACTGATAGTGGTCATTTCATGTTTTAATGTGATCGTAATGTTTCCACATGTTGCTGGGTGACCACTGCCTCTGCCTTATTCAGTGAGATCTGTTTTTCGAGTTCCAGTAGAAATTTTTACAACAAAGATAGTTCTAGGACGTTGGCTTCTTGTCACTGTAGGCCAATGGCAGTCAATTAATATTTTTTATTGGTGTCGATGGATACGCATACAGAATCTCAGAAAAGTTAAACTAAACCATGGCGGATGTTGCCAAACGGTGAGCCGTCTCCCCATGACCACAAGGAAAACATTCTTCCATAGAAACGCACACTGCGAGTTAAGCACTCTAGCGGTGTCATCTTAAAACTACGGCGCTCTTTGTATCTTTGCGTGCATTGAGAATGTCAAATGCGTGACAGAGATGAATAAAGGCTGCATTAGTAGCTGTTAGAGCTACTTGATAATCGATAGGATCACGAGAAATTTAGCTAAGAAGTAACGTAGAATAACTCAATGTTTTCTTGTTGAACAAACATAAGCTCGTTGACAACAAGTCTTTTTCAGCACATTGGTGACTAACGAATCGCGGTTTCGACTTTTTCAAGGCTTGGAAGAGTCAGATTAATAAGTAGTACACTCAGCCAAGCACTTTCATGACTTTAGAGGATAAAACTTCAAACATAAATTCTTATTCCCATAGTGAGCAGCTCCTTTCAAACACTCACCATATTTGTTCTTTACAAGACCTCCAGTTATTACTAGATATCAGCCAAG